GGAAGTGGTTGAATAACTTTGTTGCCGCGTAGCTGTTAGCTTGATCAAGCTGGCTCACACGCGGGCAACCGCACCACATCCACAGGCTACTCAGGATGCAGACAGATCAGAACGCAAGGATGAAGCAGATATGCTTTTCACTGAGATATTTCATCCGCTATGTGATGGACTGATTTGATTGACTATTTTGGTTGACTGTTTCAGTTCGAAGGGAGAGGGTCTCTGGCCGATAGGCTGAGACTTCTGGGTAACCTAGGGGATTCTGGCCGATAGGCCGCGCCCGTGCGCTGCTAGCTTGGGTTCCGTGGCCGGTGGCCCGAACCTGCTGACGCATGGCGGCTGCTGACGGGATGGGCATGGGGCGCTGCATGGTGCCGCCTCCGCAGCCGTCCTGGGACTTGGCAATGGGGCTGGGCATGGAGAAGCCGAAGGCTGTGGCTGCATGTCTGCTTGCGGGATACCACGAGTGGACGGTTAAGGGATTTAGAGGAAAGGAGCCGAGACTCACTACGATCGATCCAGATATGGAGAAGATCGACCAACTGATCCAGGATGACCCGGCGTGTAGGTTCGAGGAGCTGGTCGACACAGTGTCACACATCAGCAAGGAAAAGCTCGATAAGTCCCTCATTCCGCGGACGAATCATGAGAAGGTGACTCTCTACCGGAGGATCAGGACTGCCGCGATAGTGGCGGAAATGAAGCACCAGGGAGTGGAGGTCACGGAGATGAACGCCGTGCGCCTGGCAGCTATCTTGTGCGCTGCGGTTCCAACGGATCCTGCTTTCCTGGTTCCCTACAACGACTCTTTCTCACCGAGGCTGCTCATATCCCGTTAGGGATGAGGCAAGATATCCAGGCAAAGTATCACCATGGGAGGGCGCCCCCAGGAGATTGGGCAGATATGCCTGATCGGGATGACTACATGGTTCGTGGTGTCGTTAGTGACCCGAACCGCAAGGCATACGACTGTCTTCGGGCGCCAGGAGTGAGGGCCACTCTGCTGAACGCGCAAACAGGTCAGTGCATTCCCTGGATGATCCGACTTGGGTGCCGGAGGTGGCGTCATCGCATGTATTGGTGGCGACGATCACCACGATCGCATCCCACGTGGACTGTGCCCTTGGGCGCGCATGGCGAATGCCTATGTTCCACCCTCAGCTGATGGCGGCGACTGCGATGCTGGAAAAGCTGCAGAAGCACTTCAACGCGCTGAATGAAGCAGTACTGGGCAAGCGGTTGGGTACCGCGCCTTTCAACATGATTGCCGGCCACCTTGCTCCGGAGTTGCGGACTATTCCGACAAGAAAGCAGATGCCCGACACGCTGGCGCAATCAGCAGCTGAAATCATGCTTTCCCATGTTTCGGCGTTGTGTCACTCGGGATCCACTGCCGATAGGGAGCAGATCCTCGGGAGAGATGGCAACATGGTTTGAGGATGAGCCTGATGGAGCTACCTGGCCCGGACATCACATGGCTGGAGGCGTTGCTGTTCCCCTGAAGCCGAAAACGAAGATCGTTTCGCATGTTGATGACGAGGGCGAGCAGGACCCGGAAGCAAGTTCGTCAGGACAACAGAGGACTGGGCTGGCCCCCGATAGGGGTGCCGGGTAGGGAAAGGGTGATGACGAGACACTTCCTGACACAGGGAAACTATCCATGACGGAGGAGAAGAAGGACGACCTGGATGTGGACCAGGGTGCTTCTAAAAGAGGTTCCTCAGGGACTTTCAAGTCTGGGATGAGTGAACCCAAGCCTGGATACTGAGGCTGGGCAAGCAGGCCCGGCCGCGATGACCAACTTCACTGGAGCTACATTCGAGGAGTACCGAAAGACTGCTCCCGATTACGAGTACAGCGGGGAGGGGGATGATCAGAGGCTCCTTCCCAAGAATGCTCCTATCGACATGGAGAAGCCCCTGCCGGCCGAGGCAGCGCTCCTGATTCCTAGGGCTGTGGCCACGCAGGCGGAGGCTGAGGAGGCCGAGAGGGCCGAGATGGAGGCCATCCGCGGGGATGCAAGGCTTCCTGATGTCGGTCAGGAGGACAGGGCAGCGGTCGATCCTTACACCGTGACGACCGAGGACCTGACGGCGTCGATAGACGCATTGACGAGGAAGCTGAGCAGCATGCCTGAATGGTCGGGCAACTTGCTTGATCCTGGGAGATCTGCTGAACTGGTGGCGGCGAGATGGGGCGGAAAGGCGAGTTACGACAAACCGGAGGCTCCACTCACTGAGGCCGGAATGAAGAGTGCAACGCCGGAGGATCGGGCGTATGCTCTCACGCAGCTGAATGACGTGGTAAACTTTCACAAGAAGCATTTGTGCTTCGGACGAGGGGCGCCATCATTGAGCGCAACCGCTCCGATCAACCCCTACGCCCCCATCCAGGTTGACGAGAGCAGGAAGTTCCGCCCGAGCGAGATGGTCAGCAAGATGACGTATAGTCTCATGATCTTGGTTTTGGGTTCCTTTGGAACTTAAATGAACTTAAGGCTTAGCTGGGAGGCCCCCTTTTTCTCCTTAGCTGTGAAGTGACGCTCAATACCGTCTGGCCAGGTGCTTGCTGAGAGAAGCGACTTGAGCCAACAAGACGCTCAGTGGAGTCGCCGACAAAAGAGCCCAATACTGAGAAAACAAATCTGCAAAGGTTTGCCATGTATCTAGATACGGTGCTATCCAACTTACCAGGACAAAGGTGGATATTTTTACAGAAGTGGCTCGTGACGAACAAAGCTGCCTTGCAGTCCAGCAGGGGCAAGGGCTCCCTGCGCTCGATGTAGCCTGCTCGAAGCGTCAGCCGGCTCACGTCGTCCAGGTGCCGCTGCCCCTCCTGGGCCAGCCTGCGCTCCCCCGTTGATTGCCCGCGCCTCCTCCAGCTCCCGCTGGCGCTTCAGCAGCTGCGCCGGCAAACGTGGTGACATACCGGTGAGGAAAGAAGGATTATCTTGCCGATAGGCAGGAAATCAGACAGGAACTGCGATCTGGTGGGCTTGTGCCTGATAAGGCTAGGACACGTCAGGTGGTGGTTCCCACTAAGAGCAGGATGAACGAGTACGTTCCGGGCTATGATCAGGCGACGGCGGCCACGACCGCAGGGCGGGAGGCTGCGCAGGCTTTGATGAAGCTGCTCACGTGTGAGTATGATGACTTGGTCATCAACTCGAAAAGGATCTCGGAGTTATTCGAGCAGGGCGCTGAAGGAGACTGGGCGGGACGCTGGAAACTGGGCGAATGTTGATGAGGCCGTCTGGTTCCTGAAGGAAGTCGTGGGAATGGAGAATGCTGAGATGTCCGGTGATCAAGGCCCTTTCGGTAGGGCAAGTCGAGGTGATGCTGATGCTCATGTATGACGAGAATGGCATGCTCATCAAGGATCACACCAGATTAGTGGCCGTTAGGTTCACGCGGATCGGAAGGGACATGAGCTTCCAAGCTGTGCGACGTAGGTACACAGATGGGGATGCTCCTGGTGGGTCTCTGATGTATAAGATGCACTGGGGAGAGCTTCCTATGGTGGGGTACGTTGTGATGAGGTTCCAGGACTTCAGGAAGGCGGTCCAACTCCAAAAGGTGAGACGAAATGGAAAGGCCATGATCGAGATATTGATCACAAGGCCCGACGAGTACAACTCGATTGGAGATGGGGGACTGGATGAGGGTCTGGTTCCGATTAGCCTATGCGACCCGATGCCGAGGAATCGCCTTCGTGGTACGTCAGGGACAGGCTGCGAAACTACTCAGGTAGGTACGTAGTGGTCATGGTGGATCTTCGGGTACATTGGTCGCTGATTGGGCCCGTGTATCTGACGAGGAGGAAGACTCTTGCCGTTCGTGGCGAGGTCCACTGGAAGGCCGCGTACATGTTCGATGATTTCACGATAGTGTATCATCGCGTTTGGGATTATGGTGATTTTACTCCCGTTAGGGGGAATCACATGCGGACGGGCTGTACCTCTGGCCGTACCTCGGGCTCTGCCTTGGGGGCAGGCTTGGGCTTGGGTGTTGCCTTGGGCTTGGGTGCTGCCTTGGTCAAGGGTGCTGCCTTGGGTGCTGTCTTGGGCGCTGCCTTGGGCATTAGCAACTATCCGGTGCCACTTTGGCTCAAGATTGTGGATCCGTCGCGCCTCGGATGAGCGTCGCCGGGTCCCCACATCGATCACCTTCGTGTCGGTGGAGAAAGAGACATCGGCCCGGGGCAGATTGGTGGGGATCGCCCGTGCGGTTCATCGTCGATCAAGGTTGCGGGTATTTACCTTCTTGTTTGGTTTTTCCCTTTTGGTTGTTGTTCTCTGGTGTGTGGGAAACCCTGATCTTTGGGACCGGGGATTGGTTTGCTTTTGGGGAACCTTTCTTTTGTGGCTTGTTTACCCCAACTTACCCATTGCCTGGGCACAGGCTCGTGCCCGAATCACAATCTATTTATCTGTCTATCTATCAATCAATCAATCAAATGTCGCAACTGTTTCTGGACTCACCGGGCTTGTCAAAAGGGCGCTGGTTGCTACACCCGCAGCTTCCCCAGAGAGCGCGCATGGAGTCAGGGTGTGCAACTTCATTTCCATGAGTTTCGAGTTGTCCAGGGGTCTCCTTTTGCCAAGGGTCTCGTTTTATGACTGGAGTGGCTAGACTTATAGCGTGAACGTCGAATTACGTTTTGCCACGGGTCTCCAATTGCCGCTGGATTTTGGAATAGTTGGCATGGCTCTTTGAGGTCTCCCATTTTTTTCCGAGCAAGTAGTTTTCCGAATCAGAAGCCGGGCCGGTCGCAAGCACGACGAGGTGGGTCCAATGACATTCAGGTAGAATTTGCAGAAAGGGTTGGGCCTGGTGCCGGAGGCCTTCCAAATTCAGCTCATTTTCCTGCACACTTTACACACTTTGCCGTCAAAAGCGGGTAGGACCCAAACCTAGGCACTCCCCACCCGAAGACAAACACCACACGGCCCACGGCCCGCGCACCTCCGCAATTTGTGTGAGCAGAGCCGAGCTGTCGCCATGCAACCGCGGACGCTCCAGGCGGGGGTGGCTTGCGCAGGGGTTTGTGCGGAAGGGTGGGTTGCTATTCAAAACCAGGGTACTTGGAGGGTAGTAAGGGACAATCCCAGCCATAAATGGGCATCTTAATACCGGGTTTGGATTATCACTCACCTGGGCTGATTTTGGTTACTCTTTTTGGAGGTGGCCCCCATTGGCCTCGATCCGGGCTGTCTCCAAAGTTGTGGGTGCCTGCCATGTAAGCATGTCAATGCACAAAAAGCTCGAAACTGAATGAGACATCTACTCTCCCACTAGAGGGATTACCCCAAAACACCAGGGATGAGGCCCGGGTTGCGATTTTTTGGGACCAACCATGGAACGCAGTGCAACCTCGGCCCCTTTTAAAGGAAAATCGTAACGAGGACCTCGAGAAGTGCCAGTACCGGAGGGTATCTTTAAGAACAGAAGGGGTGCTCCCTGGGATGTAGTCTTAGCCGTAAAACACGGTGTTTTGCAGCATTTCTCATGTTAAAGTCACGTCCCCAGCAACACCTGTTTTTTTTTTTTTTAAACCACAAAAAACCCTGGGGATCGGTTTTTGAAAAGAAGGATGGCTGAAAAGAATGGACAAGGAATCCACTCCTAGAAAGCTGAGCTTCCTCTTCGGGATGCAACCAGCTTCCGGTGCTTCTCTCTGCGCGTCGGAGGTTCAACCGGCGCACACCAATTCCTTTCGGCAATGTTAGGTGAACCTCCCTCCATTCCATGTTTGGAACCTCCAAAAGGTTTCGGTGGAATCCAGTGACCCCTGTCACAAAGGCTGGAGAAAGGCTGATGGCAGGACCAAAAGTCAATGGGGCACCGCTCTGACCATACTGTTGGGCACAATTCCCCCCCATTTTGGTTTACTTCTCCCCTTTGCCCAAAGTAAAAGCCATGAATAAGTTATAGCTGGGGTACCCCAAGAAATAGCCCCTAGTGAAATCACACATTACGAAATCCGTTTCACACCACGAAATCAAACCATGGTTGAAACCATTGTTTGCTACGGTGTTTACAGGGGATTCAAATCAGAAACCAGGGAGTCAACATCCTCATCTGAGACCATGGGATCTCATTGTTTGTTGGTATTTACGTTGGGGAATCGCATCAGACACCAGGGTTTCCTTAGCTGGTGCGAAATAGATTTCGGTTCCCATCCCCAGTAGCTTGATCTGATGACATGTTCTTTGGGTATGGTGGATTCCGCAAAGGTCCAAATCCATTTCAGGGTTTCTGAGCGCTGGTGCCATTTCCGGAATTTCAATCTCAACCACAGCGAGTTGACCACCCACAGCGAGTTCTGGATTTCGCAACCATCCACGGTAGTGAGTTGACCCAAGCAGAGGCCCCCGTGCAGCTCGGGCGCCTCGGATTTCGGAGCGACAGGGGTTTCCCGTTTGTCGGGGGGGCGGATGGTTGTATTGTGATGTGGCTCAAAATTTTTCAGAGCTAGGGGTACGCAGGCTGTAGTCTTTGGTTCCATTTACCTTTTGGTGCCATTTTGGTACATGGCCGTGGGTCAACGCCAATGGTACCATTTTGGGGTAGGTGCACCACCCATTTTAGTCTAGTTTAGTGGTTGGATTTGGATGTTGGGGCTTTGACCCATAGCCACATCTTGTTGAGCCACAGCCTGATGGTTTGGGTGTGTCTTTTCTTGATCCCTCTTTCTGGATGGCAAAGGGAACCAAAAAAAGGGCACCGATTTGGGGGTCTGATGTTGAGAACTCACCTACCCCCAATAAATACTGTGGATGGACGAAATCCTGCACCACTTTGAAACCATGGGAAACCATAGTTTGGTGCTATTTACAGGAGAACCATCATTCCAGGGTTTCTTAGGTGGTGCAGGATTTTGTTCATCCACAGTAGGGTGGTTTCCCTTTCAACCCAAGGGTTATATTTCCAGAACGAGACATACCCATGTCGGGAAACCGGGTTTTTGCGGTTCGCCGGAAGGAGGTGGCAGGGATATAAGCCTTGCAGACTAGGGATATGGGAATGTTCCCATGCAAATCACAAGGGTCAGGTTTGCGCTTTGGCGGTACGGATGCGTATCCACCGATATAGGCTTGATCCCTGAACATGCCCTTCAACAGGGCTACGGTTGATTCTCTAAATCAAGTGGCTTGCGCGGTATTCCAGGAATCCTTTCTTAGAGGCTACACCTGAAGCCCTGAGAAGCGACCGGCAGTTGAGCGTTTCTCCAAATGGTGGACCCTCTTTTGGTTGGTATTTACAGGTTATCCGAGAGAAAACAAAAGTAACCCAATTATTTCAAGGGGCCACAAACTGCCATTTCAGTTTGTGCATCATTTTTGCTTTGCACCGACTCGAACAACTGCACGCTAGCTACAAACCGACCCTAAAACTGGCCCTCCCCAACCATGAACCCGGCCATTCAACTTACCCAAAACCAACCCTGACCCAACCCGAACCACAGCCGAGTTCCACTTGAACAAATGGTGCCAACATGGAATTATGCCAAACGATGCAAAGCAAGGGGTGCCCAGCATTTGCATCAAATGAAACCCGACTCTGATTCTGATACTATCCTAACATTGGAAGACTCAAAGGCAACCTGCAGGTTTCATTTCTGTTCCGTCTTGCTGGCAATGTTTTCTTCGTTTTTGAATCAAGCCAAGAGTTTCGATAGCAGTCATTGGTGCCAATGAATGATCAACGCTTGGTGTTGATTTGAAAGTAACAACAAATAATACTGTGGATGGACAAAATCCATGTCGCACGATTTAAGAAACCACGGTTGAAACCATACCGTTTGTCAGTGATTACGTAGGGGACTCATATCCAAAACCGGGGTTTCTGAACGGTACGAGAATCGGATTTCGCAAGCATTTAGAGTAGGTGTCCTTTCCAGAAAAGTTTGGTTAGACATTGATGGGTTCCACTGGGTTTTATGGCCAATTGAAAGGGTGTTTGCCATCTATTTTACCAGTTTAGGTCACCTATGGTCGATTGGAGCCTTTGGCTTTGCATCCCCTGGGTTTCGCTTTGGAGGAGCTTGAAATGTTCACGAGCTTGAGGCGGCCGGTGCACGCGGCGGCACCGCCGGGGTATCAAGGCCGGCTTTTGGACTTGGTCCGAGACCGATGCAGTGAATAATACAACTCCGTCAAAAAAAACAGACACACAAATAGACAAAAGCAACTGGTTTTGGGAGAGGGGTTGGGACCCTTTGAAATAAACTACCCCCCACAAAAGCAAATGTATTTGGAGTAGATGGACGGCTCACCCGCTGCCTTTTGATTTCGCTCCCTGCTCAACATCAACTATACGGCTCATGGCGGCATGCGGGAGCTCGCTCAAATTGCCACATAAACCAGGGCACGAATCTTGGGAGAACAAGTAACTTGCCCATTCCCCATCTAGATCTTTTCATGGGAAATTTAAGCACCACTCTTTTGGTTGCAAGCATGATTCGTGAGTTTCCTTTTTTGGTCGGGCGCAAAGAATCGTGGCTTTCCATTTGTTTCCCGTTAAGCCAACCTAAAAAGGATTCCATCAAAAAGCGCGCACACAGAGAAGGCTTTCTGCTTGTAAGTCTGCAGTCTAGGTTGTCAACCAAGGATTCTGGTCATGAAAGCGTGCTGGCTGGAGTTCATTTTGCTTTGGCAAGTGATGAGCCGCTGCTTTCCACAATGTTTCTAGGGGACACTTCCCATTCTTTCCAGGGATTCTTCTTTCCGGAAAACCAACAGAACCCCAGGGAAAACAGCAGGTTTTTGGAAAGAACGTGGTTGAAAAGAATGGGGAATCAACCCCTAAAATGTTGCGATATATCAATTTTCGCGAGCTGTGGTCCAAGAAGGCGATGGGTGTGTCTTTGCAAGCGTAGGACCCGTTTCTGTCGGGAATTCAAAGGGAGACCAACCTGTCTCGGGTGTCCCTGCATAATAAGCGGGGGGGGGGGGGTATGCTGATCGGTCCGGTCCGTGGTTCCATGTCTTGGGTACTGGACAGCACACGCACAGATACCCACGAGATACAAACACACGTACAGACTGTCGCATATCGTCTGACTTATTTTTTTCACAAACAAATAAACAAACAACAAAAACAACAGCAACAGCAACAAAAAAACGATAACATGCGGGCCAGCACCAGTCCAGCGTGCACTCAAGGAAAACGCTCGAAGCTCTCCAAATCAAGGGGGGTCTTCCCGCCCAACGTGGTCTGATTCCCACGAAAAGGGGACACCCCCAAAGAACATCAACCAAACCACGGGTTCTTGATCCGGGGTTCCCATACCTCACCCCAGTCCAAACCCTGAGTTACATACTGTGGATGGTTGCGAAATCCATTTCGCACCACCTATGACAGGGGTCCTTAAAAGATACATTTTGCCCATTTGAAACATGGCTTTTTTCACCAAAATAAAAGGAAACCACCATTTACAAGGCAATGTTCAGGTGTATAATGTAAGGATCCCTGTATGAAACTCTGGAATGATATGATCCCCTGTAAATTCCAACAAACAATGGTTTCCCATGGTGTCTTGGGTGGTACGGAAATGGATTTTGCAACCATCCCCAGTATGGCGCCATGGGCCAGGTGTCGCGCCGGTCTCACTCGGCGGACCGCCACGGCCGCAACCGCAGCCTTGCGTGTGGCGAGCGGCCGCGCCAGGCGTGGGTTCGCGGGGCGTCCTGACGGACGCGTCCTGAGGAATCTGGGGTGTTGTCAGGTTTGTCACCATTTTCCCCCACCCACCCAAACCCCATCTCTCCACTCCAACTCCAACAACCTCAACTTCGCCTCTCACGATTTTGGAGGTGCCTTGCCCAAGAACAGTTTTGAGTTAGAGTCAAGACACTGAGGGCCAAGTCTTGCTCTCAAGAGGTGAAAGAAGCTGTGGTTCGGAGAAACCTCTGGACCTCTCTGGTTGGGTTAGACTTTGATTCATTCCAAGGGTTCAAACGAGCCGGAAGGACCTGGGACCCCCCAAGTTCCCTGCAACCAGGCGCATGGCCCAATTTGTCCATGTCCTTTGGTGGGGGGTGTTGCCTGATCATTGGAACAAGACATGGGCCTGTCGGAAGTGGGGCACCAGGGTTCTACTCAAATCCAGGATCTATAGTACTTGGATGTTCAATTCACCTTGGCGATTACAAACATAGTTGTAACATACTGTGCGGGTTCAATCTGGGGTTCCAAACAGTGAGTAGTTGTTTACCCATGGCTCAATTTGGTTTTGCAGTACCCCAAAACCCTATTCCAATTATCTAGGCTCTTATATTGCCAAAGTAAACTAACCCTAGCGAAGCCGAACCACATTACAACTTTTATAGCCCCTACAGAACCTAATCGCCCCTACTGTGGATGGAAGAAATCCTGCACCACTTTGGAACCATGGAAAGCAATTGTTTGTTAATATTCAGAGGAGAATCACCAAACACTGGGTTTCTTAGGTGATGCGATTTCCGGATTTCGAACCATCCACAGCAATTAAAACTAACCCCAGTTAAAACAAACAACATTACAACTTATAAAAGAAGCAACATGACCTAATCACCTAAAAAGCGCCTACAGAACCTAAAAAGCCCTACTGTGGATGGACGCTGCACCATTTTAAAACCATGGGAAACCATTGTTTGTTGGTATTTGCAGGGGATCATATCATTCCAGGGTTTCTTAGGTGGTGCGAAATGGATTTCGCAACCATCCACAGTATGAAACTCAGGGTTTGGACTGGGGTGAGGTATGGGAACCCCGGATCAAGAACCCGTGGTTTGGTTGATGTTCTTGGGGGCGTCCCCTTTTAGTGGGAATCAGACCACGTTGGGCGTCCAGGGCCCTACTGTGGATGGACGAAATCCTGCACCACCCAAGACACCATGGGAGACCATTGTTTGTTGGCATTTACCAGCAAATCAGACCATTCCCGGGCTTCATAGGTGGTGCGAAATGGATTTCGCAACCATCCGCAGTATGTAACTCGATCCATTCCAAGTCAATGGCACCAGGCCCGGTCCTCTTTCCGGCACCGGCTTCTCCGGCTCCGCTCTCGGGCACGGGAGCTCAGAGCGAAGCGAGCAAGAGCGGGAGGGAGGTCCAACGGCCGGCCGGTCGATCCAAGGCGTTGTGTCTGAAGTTTGGTGGTTCAACCCAGGGTCTTCAGTTTTTTTTTCTCCTTTTTCCTTATTATTTTCTAGAAGGGGAACACATTGACTCACTTTCCTGAGCGGATTGTCCGGAGACGGTCTATGCTTCTTGCTTGGTGCGATAGGGAAGGAGAAGTTGGAATCAAGGTCCCTGGGCTTTGGTCCCCGAATCAAGGTTTTTCTTGTCCAATTCTCATTCCCTGCCATCTCTCGCACCAGCTTTGGCTGGGTGGTTCAACCAGCCATCCGGAGCACAACTTCGGTCTTCGTTGTGTTTTAGTTGGTTTTCTTTTTCACCACAAGTTCAACTAGAGGGTCAACCCCAAAAAAACCACCAACTTCTGGGATTTGGACTTGCACCTGTCCAATTAAAGCAGGGGCTCTGAAAAAAACAAACCGAGCCCAGTTTAAAGAGGGCTTGCCCCCCTAGCTGGTGGTTGGGGAGCCAGAGGAACAGAGCGAAAGACGTGTCTTTAAGTTTGCGCTCGCGGGCTATGCCACGAGTTCTGTCTACGGACACGTTGCCGGCCCCACCCAAAAATTCTCCGAAAGAAGGCTTGCAGGTGTCAACTTTTGGCTTCCTTCCCAATGGAAGGACTCCAAAAGAGCTATCCTTACAAAAAGACACACCCACTTGGACAGTAATCTACTAAAGCTGTCATCCAGGTTATGACTGGGGCAATCCGGGGTAGTCCCCTTATAAGCGTGGTTGTAGACTTCTTAAGTGGCGAAGTACCGGGCTTCGATTGTGACTCACTTGCGCCACGCTCAACGCACGCTTCCTCTCTTGCCAATCATGTTGACCCAGGATCTAAGTAGAACCCGTCCCATGTTCCCTCCAAAAGTGCTCTGAATCCAGCCACTAAAAGGGGACACCCCCGGATCAAAATCATCCAGGGGTTCTGCTTAATCCGGGGTTAACATTATACATTCTTGGCAAATGAAGGGTTCGTTTTTGAGGGTGTGAGCTACAACCAGCACTGAGTGAAGGCTAGAGGATGGTCCCAACCAACAAAGAGTTCACTGTTTGCGCCGCGGTACAAGGGGATGACCATGGATCGCACTCTCCAAAAATAGCAGCAGAAAATGGGGGCGGGAGTTACCACAGGCCCGTGAGTTGACTCCCAAGTAGTAGCAGACGATGGGGTTTCTCATGAGTTGACTGGAAACTCGAACATAGTAGCAGAAAATGGCGTTTCTCACCAAATGTCCATGAGTTGACTCCAAAATAGCAGCAGAAGATGGGTTTCTCACCAAATTATTATGAGTTGATGAATATTGACTGTCCCTCATGTAGGTGAAGCTTAGTCGGGGAACAATCATGATCCACTATGAACACTAATCTTGGTCTGCCAAACACAAGGACGGGCGGGTGACTCCTCCTTCTGGCACCATCTATGGATGACAGCTGCTAGAGATCCCAACAAAAGGGTGCAAGCAAAAGGCCTGCTTAGATGTTCAACCCACGTAGCTTATAACCATGGTAAGTACATCATGGTAAGGGGACTATCCTCAGTTGCCAACCAGTTATAATCAGTTGTATCCTACTCAAAGGAACATCCCAGTATCAATTAAACGGCTGCGTTTTGCCCGTAACAGCATACAACCATCGTCATAACCTGAACCTGACGTCGGTAGAACATCCGAGCATGGTAGTATCTCTTGAAACTGGCCACAAGGGAAGAAGGAGCTGCATTTGGTTGTCTCGCAAAATAGGTGACCCCTATAGTGGCAACAGTTTCCTTTCGGCTTTCCCTTGAACCAACCAACAGGGATCCACTTTTCGAGGAACCCCAAAATTTGGGGTAGGTAAGTTAGGGGGGTGGGTAGTTGAGAGCCCGTTCTCGGGTTGTTTGGGGTTCTGCGTTTTTTTTTTGGTTGCGGGAGCCTTTTGGACCCCCTTATCTTGGACCCCTCTTAGGGACTCCATAACTCACCCTGGGGTTTATGACCCCTTGCTTTCTCGCAACTTTCTGGTCATCTCCCCTCAAAGCAGGGGGCAAAATATGGTTTAAACACCACCTTCACAAGAAATCATCATCATAACCAATGGTGTAAACATGTTTGAACCAATGGGTAGCCCCACCCTAGCTCAAAGGGCCCCTGGAAAAGTGGAAGCGCATGAGAGAAGCTTGGCAGGGACGGTTCGCTTCACAGCCAAAGTCTGGCCGTTTCATTCTCGGCGTGTCGGGGTAGACTCCTTGCAGAAGTGTTTTGGCGACTCATGCAACGTTGACCCCGGATAAATAGTTCCCCCCCCAAAAAAAAACAAGGAGAGAAGAAAAAGGCAGTGGTCTGAATCCCTACACGGAAAAGGGGACACCCACATCTTTCAAAATCAACTAGGGGTTCTGCTGAAATTCCGGGTGTCGTTTCCGCCATTTCCCTTCAAAGGGAGCCTCCAAAAGTGGCTTTCCAAGGCCCCTTTCCTGGAAAGGAACCAAGGGGGGGTGGTCCCGGATTCCCTAAACTTATTGAAAAAAGGGGGGGGATCCACCACCCTCCTTGGATTCCCGAAACATTGTTGGGAACCATTTTGCATTTTTGCTTATTGTGGTTTAGTGGGACATCCAACCACTTAACTGCTAAACTTTAAATTTTTGGCTCTCCTTCCAACGTCAACCATGTAAGATTTTAATGAGGAACCATTTCATTGGAGGCCCGGCGCTGGTGACGGCGGACCTCGCCCGCAAGCAGCAGACCACGCCGGAGCGGCGGATGTGGGATGGCTTCGGGTTGCTCGATGGGGGGCTTCAGGGAAGCCAAGAAGGGGTTCTTAAGCGACAACACGGATCCTGTCCTTTTCTAGGGGGCCCCGGATTTTTGTTTTTCCTGCACCAAACTGGGTACCAACTTAAATAAGGCGCCCCCCAAGTCTCAAATCTCAAGTTGCTTTGGGGGGTTTTGAAGGGTGAATTTGTTGAAGGGAGCCAGGGAAGCTGTGGGGAACCTTTTTGAGAGTACCAAGTGGGTCGTCTCAAAGCCGTGCTCCCAAAATCGTGCCTCCAACAAGGGACAGGAGTGCACCTTCTGGGGCCGGTTTTTTGGTTTCCCCTCTTTTTTTCCTCTTATTCTTTTTTTTGTTTGGCCATGCGCGCCTTCTGCAAGCGCGCTGAGGCGCCAACTCTGCGCCTTTTTTTTTTCTCTTTTAAATTCAGGGACATTGAAGGGGCACTCTTTTGGGTGGGTTTTCAGGGACCACGCCTGAGGGCGGTCCTACTCTAAGAGGGAGGGAAGGGGATCGATGCCCTAGCTTCAAGCCACTTGGCCCGATGTCACCTTCTTGCGTTTCATGAGTTTTTCTTTTTAAATAGAAACTAAAACAAAGTCCCTGTTGGTTTTCAAGGCATGAATAGTTTTTCTTCTTTTTTTTCCCCTCTTGGTTTTCAAGGGAATCTAGTACCACTGGAAATATGCGGATATATGGAGGTCACTATGGAGGTCACTATGGACCCAGCTGGCCCTACATTTGGGCGCCTCCCCTATTTTGAGACTGACATGGTTTGGAGCTGGCTCAACGATTATCACTGGGTTCCAGGAAGTTCACAGTGGGTTCATCGGGATTTCTTAAAACCCGCAAGCCTCGCCCCCAAATCAACTCCCGGAAAATCCAACCGCGAACCCCCCTTGAAGCTTGGTCTAGAACAGCCTTCAGCCCACCCGAAACCGGCCCAAACCAGCCTAGACAAGCAAGGATGCTCCACCCCCGCTGCAGGTAGAGGGGGGGTTGTCGTTGGCTTTGGCAAACACCAGCGCTTCGTTGCGTGGGTTTGTCCACGTTTGCGCCAAACAGTTACTTTTTATCACCTCGCAGGCAATGTGCTCGCTTTGGAATTCCCAGCTCTGCTTCACTTTCGTGCACTATTTTTTTTTTTTACAATGTGGCGCGCCCGACTTCTCAATGTAGTAGGTCGGCCCATGTGTCCGCCACTGCCGGGGGCATGTCATCTCAACATTTCATGTTGATCCTGCATCGCATGGCACGGTGCCCCCCCTGCAGCAGACAAGTCCACCTGTTGCAACGTCGGCCACGACCAACGGCAAGAGCCCGCGCCTATGAGTCGGAACGCCAAACCATTCAAACTCTAACCCTAAGCTGTCGAACACCGGCTCACCCGTCCTCAGCCTGTTCAACCCGGCCAAGGTCAAGCCTAAAAACCTACCCTGAACCCAGCCCAACTCGACCCAACCCTTCTGGAGTCCCGCCCAAAGCCCACCTTAAGCGAGCTTGACATGAACGCAAGACCCACTGAAACCGAGCCTGACTCGATTGTGCAAACTCACCCCAATCCCACCCTAAACCCGCCCTAAAAGCAATCCGAACAGAACCAATTTGACATCCATCCCAACCCAATCCAACCTACTATGCTCTAACCCCGAGCCCAACCTGCACGCACATAAAATCAAGCCATCGCAACTCATTCCAATCTTGCCGATTGGCCAACCCTACGTCAAATGTAATAGCTGCGAACGCACATCCTCAACCTCGCCAAGCAAGTCCTTCTGTAATTCTAAACCCAACAACATTCCGCCCAACCGAAATCAACCATCTGCCCAGGCCAAGTTTCCTTGTCTAAGAAGTAGCTTTCCGAACTTGCAGACTGAAGCTGGCTTTCTGACTGAAAGCGAGTTTTTGTAGTTTAAAGTGATGCTTCCGAGCTTGTCACAAACGCGAATCTTCGCTTCCGAAGACTTGATTAGGGAAGGCTGACGCAGCAGCAGCGTTTGTGTTGGCGTGTGGTGACTATGGCAAGTTCTGCCCGCAAGTTTTTTTGCTGCAATTTTCAATCGCCTGGTGTTTGTTTCATGTTGCACCGAGCACGCAGCGCCTATGACCAGCACGCACGCCGCAGCGTTGCCTTGCACGGCAACGGGAAAGCAGCTGTCAGCGCAGCCGGCGCTTCTAAGTTAAGAACAGAAAGAAGTGGCTGTCCACGTATCTCTTCATTTTCGAGCAGCCACGACAAGATGGTCCGTGGGGCTAGGGCTGCCGAGAGTGCCTTTCAGCATTTGACCAGCTAGCCGACCTCGTGTGCGCAGAAGGTTGTGAGACACTTGCTGGGTTTCTTGCAGCAAAGGGCCTTCGCCGACGATGACAAGAGTGATGGTGACGGTGACGAGGTTGTTGCCGATGATGATTGTGATGGCGTCTCTTCTTGTTGATTATGATGGCGGATGTTGCTGGTAATGATGAAGATGATGGCGGTGGTGATGGTGATGGTTCTGCTGACAATGATGAGGGAGGTGGTGATGGTCAATGCCGCCAATGATGATGATGGTGATGATGATGATGACGATGATGATGATGGTGGTGATGATGATGACGAGGATGTTGATGATGATGATGGCGAAGATGATGAAGGTGATGGCGGTGATGGTGGTGATGATGATGTTTTTCAAGGGTTCGCTCTCTTGAATCATGGCGAGAATCGTTTTGCTTCCTTCAGGATTGAAGCGTCTCGAAAGGCTGTTGGGCCAACCCCCTGACAGCGATGCAGGGCTTTCCTTGACGCATCGTGGCGCCCTCACAACCGCCCCGCCTTCATTATGTGCGGCCACCTCGTAAACTCCGCCCTGTGCATCACCTTGGAAACTGGCCATGAAGAAAAATAGGATGCCTTTTGCCAGCAACACTTTATTCTGATATGTGAATCCATGCTTCTTTCAAAGATACGACGTGCGTCAAGGCGAGAGGGCGCTGTGATGGCGGCCTTGACGGAAGCTGTCCTTTCCAGCCAAGGCTTCGCACCGTGGTTGGTAGAGACCTGGGGTTTCTCTACGGGCGCACGTACTACAGCGAGGAGGCCGCTTGCTTCTCCCAAGATTCCTGCTCACACTTGCTTCCGCTAAAGCGTTGCCTACTCCGCGCATTTTGGGCACAAGCAGGGTAAGCCGGAGGCAAGGGAAGGCCAGGCGCTGCGCTGCGTCGCTCTTTGGCAAAAGCTTGCGCGCTTTGGTACCCAGCGCGTTTGACTTGCCAGCCTCAGCTAGCTTTAATGATTAATGCTACCGTGCGGCAAGAATTGCTTGTTGAAGGCAAACTGGACTTCAGTCTTTTCTGGGACTAGCTTCTGTCGATGAGACTTCGAACAAGCAAGAGCGCAAGAGCGCCAGAGAGAGACGCCTGCCGTCGCAGGTACATTCATACATTTCCTTACATCCACAATCGCCAAGTTGCGCATGTCATCTCGACATTATGTGCAAAACTTTTTTAAACTCGTATTTGACTGGTTTCTTTCTTCCGACTTTCCCGTGCTTCTCCAGACTTTTCCGGCTCCGGGTTGCAGTCCGTCAGCGTCGCGGATGGAAAAGAAAGGTGCTGATTGCCGTCTATTAGTTCGTGGCTCGCGATCCTACTCATAGCTTCCGCGGCCGACACGGACAGTCGCTTTCCGACACTGAGACTCTTACTTTGCTAAGTTTGCGCCGTCCACTTTTTGCTTTTTCGTGGCCCGCCGTTCCACTCACAGCTTCCGCGGCCAACATGGAAACCGTTCGACATGGGCGGCCCCCAACTAACTCGTAGATTGTTTCCCTTGAACCTATTACGGGGAGGGGGTAAGTAAAATAATCTGCCCGTTAAAAACAGGGTGTCCCATTTTTTGATTCCCCTGCGTGACTTCAGCCGCACTCCAGAGTGCGAGGACCAGCGGGACCAGGCCTACCGAAGCCTCATCCAGTCTCTGGCCGTGCTTTGGCTTGGGCCATGGGAGAAAAAAGGGGAGTGAAGCAAGGACTTGGAGGAGGTGGAAGAGTCCCCAAAAGAAAACCCGATTCCTGGGTCAGAATATGTAACTCCGTGTGGGAAAGTAGACGCCAGTCTGTTTGTGAAGTCCTTTCAACCAGGCCCAGACTCTTTGCTTCGCTTCTCCCCTTGCCCAGGCGTTCAACCCACGTCAGATAAGTAGGCTACATCCTCGTTGATGAATGGGTTCGGTTGAATGGAATAGCTGCCTGGCACCTGCACCATGACAAGTGGTTGAAACAGCCAACGCGCCCATGGCACTCTCACGAGAGGGCAAGACTACAAATTTTTTGGATAGTGTTTTTTGTCAACGCATCATCAAGAAACACAAAGCTCCTACCCAGCGATTTGCATTCGGGGGGGCATTGAGCGCTCGTGGGTGTACATCTGTGTTTGCAGTTTTCTGAAAAATGACATGCTGAGACTGAAACATATCAGGCAACCACCTTCACCTGCTATAGTCCAAACTGCTTGGCATCTGCACAACTTGGCCCACTAGGCCAAAAAGGGCATATTGGGGGAGGTAGTCCTTCATCCAAGAATCTAAGCCCTGATTCGGTTAGTTTGAAGATTGAGCCTTGGCGCACCTCACACCTCAGGCGTTTTGTTTTCACGGAAATTGGCTGGCTTATGTTTTGAATACTTTTCCTCTGGTTTCCCCTTTTGAACCACCGAACAAATGAGGCCCTCAAAACAAAACACACCCAAATAGACCTTCAACCGGAAGACCCAGCAACTTCCAAGGCTTGGGGCGTCTTGGAGGATTTGCCACTGGACAATGGGGTGCTGCACGTGAACGCGCCCTTCTGCCATGACTTCTTCGAGGCAAAGCCACCCCTGGCATGGGAGATTGGTGCTCGTTTTGGGAATGGTGCAAAGCAGAGTCTCCCAAAAAGAGGGTTCCACTTGCTTGGTTTTGGGGCCATATGTGCGTATTGGGAGATCTATTCGCGTTTTGGCTCCGTGTTTGGGTTCAACCCAGTTAAGTCTGTATTTATTAACCAGGCTCCCGCCTGCTGCCGCCGACCCTCGGCGCATTAAGGGAAAAGTCACAAGGACCGGTCCTGAAACACGTCCGCAAACCCAGGGACCACTTATAAGATCCTCTACGACCACAAACAAGGATTAACGGAAAAGTCAGAAATTGGGCAGCTAGTCCGTTAATTACCGCTTGGGCCGGCTTGCGCCCAAGTCACTTCGAGTTGGCGCCTCTCCCGGGGTCGCCCTGAAACTGGCCCTCCCGATTTTGCCCTGGGCCGGTCGCCGGCAGGGACCGGGACTTGGGACCCTATCCAGGCTGGTCCCAGTCTGGCGCGGTTTGACTCGACGTATTGGACTCTCTTGCAGAATAGATCCAGGGCTCCTCTACTACCACAAGGATTAACGGAAAAGTCAGACAGGTGCCGAAGTCACGTTGAGCTGGTCCTAGAAACAAGGCTGTTGGTCCCCCTCAACTGGTCGCAATCAGTGACGACCTGGGACCCTGTCCAGGGTCCTGGGTGCCAGTCCGGCCACAGCAATTTGAAGTACCAGCGCTCACACCACGACTCGATCCCGGGACCGGCTTCCCACTCTCCCAGGACTGGTCCCAGGTCCTGGGTAATCTAAAAAAAGCAGAGCCAGGGTCCCAGGACCAGTCCCAGGACCGGTCCCAGGACTGGTCCCAGGACTGGTCTTAGGACCGGTCCCGGGACCGGTCCCGGCACCGGTCCCGGTCCTGGAAATCCACTTTTTGTGCGTTCGGGCGTGTCTCCCAGGGACTATCATTGATTCCTGCATCCCACGCCGGTCCCCTCTGCAGGAGGCTGGGACGGGAGGCAGAGGGTCGGCGGATTTGGGATGAGCCAAACCCTGGGTGTGGGGATGATATTCGATTTGCATTGAGCAGCTGTGGTTCTTCGCCAAGATCATCATCCTCATGATTGATCATGCGAAATCACATGATTAGCATCGTCAGCATCACTCACGTCACTGGCATCACCACAAGCTTTGGCATCTCCACATCACCAGCATTGCCAGCACTGTCAGCATCGCCAGCATTGCCAGCATCATTGATCCACAAGCACCACCGCCACCAGCACCACCAGCACCACCAGCGCAGGACCACTTGCACCAGCACCACCCCGTCCATCATCATCACGATCATTGGAAGCATCATCATCATCATCATCATCATCATCATCACCTCTTAAATTCACATAGTCGAAGGGATTCTGTTCCAGGTGCACTGCAACTCATATGTCGGAAGGGTCCTCTGCAACAAAAGTGTGTTTGGAGGAATCTCTTTGCGGGATCCCCTCTTTCGGGATTGTCAAAAACTGCACCTCCCCACGCACCGAACATTGCACGAGGGGCCTGAAACAATTTGGGGGATCGCGGTGACCTACATCAGGATATGACTGGAACAAATCCCCGTGCTTCCAGTTACCACTAGGCAATCCGGGAAAAACATGTGGCTGTGGGTCAAAACCAATGGTACCATTTTGGGGTAGGTGCACCACTCATTTTAGTCCATTTTAGTGGGGATTGGGGGGTACGATTTGGCTTTTGACCCATGGCCATGTAACCTGGTAGCCATCACTCGGATGAAGCCTGGTTCCGAACCTTGGATCCAACGCATATCACCCTTGGTGGCTCCCAGCCATCCGGCTCCTTAGCGTTTTAGACTTTTAGTGTTTAGTGTTTAGTGGTAGTTTCCATTCAGCCCACTCAGAGTTACACTTTTCGCGGGGGATCTGAGGGCAGCCCGGAACCCTCTACCCGCTTTGGGGTTTGACTCAGGCGCCGCTGTTGCTGCCCTTCCTGGCCGCTCGGTTCCTGCGGCCAGGCGCGAGGAAGGCAAGCCCAAGGCTGAGAATGCTGCGGATGGGTCCTGGAAATCCGCTTCTTGCGCCACCTAACTTGGTGGCCCCAAGGCGTCCGGTTCCTTAGGCTTTTAGGCTTGTAGGGTTTGGTGGTAGTTTCCATTTAACCCACGGAGTTTAATTTTTAGCAGGGGATATGAGGGCAGCCCAGCTAAGAAAGCATGGTTGAAACTATTGTTTGTTACCATTTACAGGGGATCATATCAATCCAGGGTTTCTGAACGGCGGTGCAGGTTTTACCCCAAAATAGGTGGCTCGGCCTTTTGGTTTCCGCCATGACCAGTCATTTTAAACCGACACCAAATGGCTGTGGCTCAAATAAATGTTCCAGAATGGCACCTTGGTAAATGGAACCAAAGACTAACACCTGCGTAACCCTAGTTCTTTTGAGCCGCACCCAAATGGGTCGCCTGTTCTTTGGGGTCCTGTTTAAAGGAAAAACAAAGCGTCTTCCAGGACCGACAGGTTCCATGTTAGTGGACAGGAGGGTAGAATGCGCTTTGAATTCTTGGTGGCCCCCAGCCATCCGGTTCCTTAGCTTTTTAGCCTTTTAGTGTTTAGTGGTAGTTTCCATTTAACCCACTAGAAGTTAAACTTTGAGCGGGGGATCTGAGGGCAGCCCAGAATTTGATCAGTTTTTTTTTCGTTTTCCGGAATGCACTACTATGGATGAACAAAATCCTTTTCGCACTGCTCGGGAACAATGGGACACCGTTGTTCATTGGTATTTCCAAGGAAATCAAATCATTTCCAGGGTTGCTTGGGTGGTGCGACATGGATTTCGCAACCATCCACACTAATTATGAAGGTGTAATGTAATTACCGTGTGACTTACCCAGAAGTTGGTGGTTCAACATGTCTTTCTGAGTTATTCCACCCCTTCCTTTGGGATTTTGGGAGCCGGCTCACTCGCGCGAACGCTGTGAGCACAATGCTCAACGGTGGTGTTCCGAATCCGAAAGCAGTTGGGTGTTTCCTTTCTGGCGATTGTCCTCCTAAGAGGGGACAATTTGGAGCATGATCCAAAGAGGCTTTTCCTTTCGCGTTTTTCACTTGCAAGTTGGAACCCTACCTGGAGTCTCCATGACCCTTCAAAAATGGGTCCATGACCCCTTAATTTCGGGTAATGACCAAACATGTTTAAGGGTCATGGAGACTCCAGGTAGTGGTTTTCTCTTCAAGGTCAACCGCAAGCCAAACGACAACGATTTGCCCCTTTTTCTTTCCGTAGAACGCTGAAAAAGGAATCCTTTCGTCTAGGAAACCAACTACAGGAAGTTCTACGGGAAACCCCTGATTTTGGTGGGAATTTGGCTAGTTTCCTGTAGAATCTCCTACAGCTTTCTATGTTTTCGCCCGATGTTCGTTCGGTATGACCTTCGACCGTTGAAGCGTTGGACTTTCGCCCCGAGCTCGCTCATTTTTTTTCTCCAGATCCAAGTCCTAAGAAGTCCTGTTAGATGGATCACCTCCCCGAGATCCAAGATATTGGTACCATTAAGCGGCAATCCTGAAGCCTTGCTTAAGCCCCCTGCAAACCAAAACACATCCAGTGATAAAGTCCCTTTAAAACCAGCAAGGGAAGAACAAAAGCGTCTTAAGCTTTTTCTAGGGGTTGACTCCTTTTCCATTCTTTTCAACCACCGTTCTTTTCCCAACCGGATGCGTTGGGTTTCCGGAGGTTTTCTAAGATTCGGATCCCTGGAACGAAGGGGTAGCCCTGGAATACGCAATCCCTTAGCCGCCTTTTGATACGAAGTCTTGGCTCCCTTGGGTGCCCAACAGGCACGTGGAATCGCAAGCCAAGCGCTGAAAGCTTGGCTTGTCGGGGGGTCAAAGACCAACTCGGAACAGGTGGTTGCCTTGGTTGCGTACTCTATGCATAAGTGTCCTTTTTGGTTGTTTTGGTAGAAAAATCGATGACCCTGGTTTACCTGGTGGTTTAATCATCTACCAGGGCCGTCTATTTCCTCTAAAAGGACACCTATGACTCTATGGGTACATGGAATCAACGGGACGATTTGGGAAGCAAGCAGCCTTCCACTTCTTGGGGTCGGATGACGACGAGTGAAGCTCGGAAGCTTCCCCCCTAAGACCAAATGTTTCTTTGGGTTTTTTTCTTTGAGGTCGGGAAATTCCATTGTTCCCTTTGTAAGACCACATGTTTGTTTTGGGGATCTTGTTCCAATGTCTCCCCTTTGCTTCTTTGTAAGACCAAATGTTCTATTCTCGGCCAGAAATTCCATTTGAAGCTTCTTCTAGCATTTCAAAACCCCAAAAGTAAGCGCCCTTTTGCAGAATCCTTGAACAATGAATACATTACTGTAAGCAATCTAGTTTTCTTTCGGGCTCCCTTGAAGCAGAAAACCCCAAAGCAACTGCATCGACGTTGGGTACCATCACAAATTGTTGCCCTTGGTAAACGTAGAATCCATTACTTGATCCAGGTTTAACATCAACCAGAATAGAAGACGCGGGGTATCATGGTCCATTCCTATAGACCCATTCAAGTTCATTTCCTACCCCCCAAAAAGGAGGGAATCCAGTCTCCACATTCTCCCTCCTCCGCCCCCCCGACCGGGTTCCATTTTTGACTCTTCCCCGAGTTAGACTCAGACGTGGTTGTTTTGCCAACAAGGGAGCTGGGTTCAAGTCTACCTCAGTAGCAAAATAATGTGTGTGTGTGTCGTTTTGAGAAAGTACGCTTTTTGGCATAGGTGTTTACAGGGAAACTATCAAAGAACACCAACTTTGAGGGCTCCTTCCTATTCTTGGAATGGTTTTAACGTTTTTTTTTTTTTTAAAGAACACGCATTTTGAGGGCTCCTTCCCATGAAGCCCTGCCCCTTCCCCCCCACAAAAAGAACCGAAGAAGCCTCCAACAAAGCCCCGGGTGCGTCCGGCGCAGGCTCCGGGGTGCGGAAGCTGGCGCTCCGCGGCTGCGACGTGCGCAGCCAGGACTTCTGGTGGCCCGCCTGGGCGGCTCGGAAGCGAAGCGAAGCACGCGGTGTGGTGGGGCGGACGGGGGGGCGGACGGGGGGGCGGGGGAACCCCATGAGCCCCAGGGGAAACCCATGACAAACCCGTGGGACCAAGGGAAACCCATGAGAGAAACAAGGAGGTGGTTATTGAAGGTGGGAAACCCATGGGATCTCTGAAAACTGGCAAAACCATAAGACCACAAGAGGGGGGTTGTCTTCTTTAAAACCCTTTGCGGAGGTTTACGCAAGTGTTACTTCAACATGTTGAAACCAGAGGCTGGCCCGACCCGAATGTTGACCCGGATCAAGTCATGATCTCCACTAAAGGGGTTCTGACCACTGGACACCAATGAAACATGGGAACACCAGGGAAAACCAAGGATAGAACCATGGAACCATGGAAGAATCCTTCCTGGAGTGGTCGGACGGAAGTCCGTTTCATTCAAAGCCTGGATACTGTATTCGTTGTTGGTCATATGAGAAGAATACGTTGCGATTGTGGCAACGGAGACCAACATATTTCCCTCCGCGCGGTTTGTCGACTTGAGTGAAGGCATTGTCCAACTTCATATGACAAGCAACGGCTTTGTTCAAGTTGTCATTGGAACGCGAGGAAACCTCTGGTGGGTTGTAACGATGGACCAAAGAAAAATCAGGGAATTCTGAGTTTGTTGCTCAAAGCAACCATGAATCTTTGAAGTGGTGGGAAACCGGCCACAGTGGCCTTGACATGCTGACATGCTGCGATTCAAGTTGTGGAAACCCAGTTGATTCACAAGTCCCTGGTTGATTTGTTTGGGCGTATCGCAGTTTTATGTTGAAAGCAGCTTAGGGGTGGTTCTCGGTTTGAGGGCACGTCCTACTTGAGGGCGTTTCTCTGACTGGTAGAGCCCGGGGCTACTTCGAGGCGACTCAATCCGGGGTCCACATTGTGCCGTGGTCAAAAGACTTCTTGGGGTTTGGATGGCCAGCCCGTTTGGGATTTGTGCTTTGAATTCCGAAGGGAGCCATGATTCTAGGGGCTGCTTCCTTGTCCATTCTTTTCAAGCATCGTTCTTTCGAACACCAGCTGTTTCCCATGGTTGTTTAAACAAGGTTGATTCCTTGTCCATGGTTGATTCCTGGTTGATTCCTTGTTGATTCCTTCCCATGGTTGATTCCTTGTCCATTCTGTTCAACCATCTTTTTAAACACCTACTGCTTTCCCATGGTTGTTTAAGTGGTTTTCTAGAAAGAAGGATTTTCGGACTGGGGAAGCTGGCCTTGGCATGTTCGGCTTCACACCTCGAGCGCTCGCTCGATGCTCGACCTCGCACTGAGGAGCAGTGGGCGCAGCGGAGCTTCGAGGGGCGTGTTTCTCTGGAGCTGCGACAGCAGGAGCGACGAATCCGGGTGGATCAGGGTTGTGGGATCAGGGGGTTTATCCCCCACTTTTGTGATGCAAGGGAATCTCTCCCTTTATATGGGGGGTTAGTCTTTGGGAAGCCCTTTCTGTTGTATCACAGAAGTGGTCATTTCCCACAGCCCTGGGGTGGATGGATCCGGGTTGTCTTTCAGTGGTAAGTGGGTATGGGTCAAAATGAAACCACCAGGATATGGACTGCAGGGTTTAGTCCTCCATTTACCCGGGCAAGCCATTTGGGGTACCTATTTTTTTGACCACCACAGCCAAATGGTGGCATCTCCTGAAGCGTCGGGGATTTTGTTTCTTGCTTTCCGGGTTCCTTTGGTGCCCGCTTCTGGGCGTTTCCTTGGTTCAATTTGTATGCAGCCAAGGGATTCTAACCGCCATCAAAAAAAAGGGGGGTGAATATAACCACCATTTGAAGGGGCCAACCTTTTTAATGTAACCACCTTTCAATGATTTGCCTGAGCAACTTCATTTAAATTGGTGGGTTTGATCAGAACCGTTTTGGGCCATTCCCATTTAACATGTGAATAACCCAAAACGGGTGCTTTTGAGGCATATCAGAAAAGGTGATGTTCAAATCGCCCCCAGCCCATATGGGCTCCCAAATTTCAAAGGCCTGTGAGGCCCATCCCTTTGCAAAAGGGCAACCATTTAGTGGTAAATGAACAGTTTGGCCCCCTTTTTTTGGCCAATCAAGTCAGGAAGTGAGGTATGAAACCGGCGGGGAATGATTTCCCTAGCAACACGGCTGTGGGAGAATGTCTGGAAGATCCGTTGCCTCGAGATTGAGCCCCGAGCCATGGAAGCCTCCAGTTGGGATTCATTCCGATTCACCGATCCGGGTGCGACGGATTCAGAGATTTGAGTGTCACTTTCATGGACCTTTTTCCCCCTTGATCCCGCGTGTCTTGAAATAGCGGACATAGTGCTCTGCCCAAAAATGAGCCAAGGCTGCTTTGGGTAGAGCATTGGGCTTGGGAGTATCTTCCCAAAAACCTCTTCCTTATTCAGTCCATCTTCCCACGAGTACCCGCACAGTAGCCCACCAAAAAAAACAGAAAGGTAAACAGATCCTCACTAAGACTAACCTGTGTTCAAAAGTTGGGCAACTTTGGCTCGGGCCACTCTGCACGCTCACTGACCGGCGAAGCGGGGCGTGCTTCCAGCTGCTCGCTCGCTCTCTTCAACGACTGATTCGATCGGGTCCTTGGAGCACTCGAGCCGTACCTTGCCCATTCGCTTTTGAAGATCCTTCTCTTCAAGAAGTGGTTGCCAACCCCTCGGGGAAAGGGAGAGAAGTTCGATGGCCACAAGGTTTTTCATGGGGGGAATCGATTTAAGACATGGTTGGTGGGGGGACATCGATCCTGCAAGGTCCAGCAAAAGGTCGTCCCAACAAGACTCCCCTTATCATCCACCTGCTTGACCAATCCGGATTAATCTTGAGCTCAACAGGACAACCTCATCCTCTTTGGCGCAACCACCAAGCTGATCTTTCTAGACCGGGCACAGGTCGTCTCAACGGGACAACCCCTGACCCAAATAACCCCAAAGAACCCCGTGCCCCGTGCCGGGGGGGGGAGGTGGGGAGGGGAGCAAAGTTCGCCTCGACATTAGGACTTGGTGGTGCAGCAGCAAGCGCCCGCGGGCTTGACGCTGGCCTGCCACCCGGAGGCGCGAAGGAAGCGGCTTCTCCGGGCTTCGCCGGTTGGAAGGGTTCAATGTGTGGGGAATGTGCGTTGAATGAACCCCAAAATTCTTCCCTAGGTGACAGCCCTAGAGGCCCTTGGCTTGCTGGTGCTCAGGGAATGTGGGAATGAACCAGGCTTTGCTCCCCTTAAAGGAAACCAGCAGTTGGATGGTTTAGAAGGGTCATTCCAACTTTCTCATTCCCTGTGAGAAATCCACTGCGGTGGATACCACCTGGGCGAATGTACTTGCAAAAAACTTCTTGAACCAGACAAGCGAGTTCGGTTCCCCTTCTGACCATAGCTGAACCCCCCCCCCTTTTCACCTTGCTGGTATCATCGCCTTTTTTTCTTTACTTTTATGTTATTTCTTCTCTTTCTTTGGGGGGGGGGGGGGCAAATGTGCTCCTGACTTTGTTTCCGGCGCCCTCCTCCCCGCAACCTAGACCCGCTACCCCGGTACCCGCTCGCTCGGCTCGAGGTGACGAATGGCGGCCCCTGGCTGCCCATCCTGCGCCACGTGCTGCGGAGTCGGGCGCTGCATGGCCGCTGCGTCTTCGCGACCTTCTACCGCCACGAGGCGGAGGCGCTGGAGCAGGAAGCCGCGCGAGAAGCCGTGGGTGGACTGAGACCTTAGGGCCCCCGGCAATTGGTGCCAACTTGTACCGTTGCTTTTTTTTGGTTGGTTTTGGGCTCCCCCTACTAAAATAGACAGAAAAAAGCTGCGGGGTCCCCGGGAAACCGTGGGTGGACTGACACCTGGCTGTGGATGGATGCGAAATCCATTTTCTTACGCACCACCGTTCAGAAGCCCTGGAATGGTCTGATTCCCTGTGAATACCAACAAACATTGGAATCGCATGGTTTCTTAGGTGGTGCAGTACGGGTTTCAATCACAAAGGTGCTTGGACCCCTTTTTGGGGGCTCCTCCAAATTTGTTGTGTCCTTTTTAGGGCGGACTACATAGCTGTGCATTTTTGGTTTGAGTCGGGGGGTGAGTCGGTCGACTGGTTGAAACTCAGCAGTTGCCCGTTGCTCCCTCTAGTTGCCTTTAAAGGGAACTCAGAGGAAGGCGAGACGCTTGCCGAGTGTTCGGTTGAGCTTGGTTGGTTTTAAGGGAAACTAAAAAGGTCCAACCCTTCGGGGGGTCCCCTAATATATATATATATATATATAGAACCCCATGCTACTAGCCAGGGTTTCTATCCATCCGCCAACTGGGATCTTCTGAGCAAATGCAGAGCGAGATCAGCCGAGTTCACAGGGTAGGCAAGCGACGACTGACGAGCTGACTTGACTATAGAAAGACGAGGTAGGCGCTGCAGGAACGGGTCCCAGAGCATGGGACAAATTGTGGTCTTGAAAAGCTTCATTTCTCCGCGACGCAAGATGTCATTGTGCGAGAAATTTCTTTTTGTGCCCTGCGTTGTTTTTGCGCCCTGGTACTGTTAAACTGTTGGCATGTGGCCAGTCAGAAGTGCGGTTGTCAGAGTGACCGTTGGTAATTATGCGGGTCCTTATCTCAACTCATAGACGCCCAAGGGGTCTATAGGGGATAAGCCCTGGAGAAGCCAGGGATAAGCCCTTGAGTCCCTACCAAGGGGTCAATAGGCAACAGCCCTAAAGGCCCTCCTTGGCGTGCTGGTGCTCAGCAGGGAATGTGCTGAACCAGGCTTTGCTCCCCTTAGAGGAAACCAGCAGTTGGATGGTTTACCTCGGGGTCATTCCATTTCTCATTCCCTGCCTATCGCACCAGCCAGCTATCTTCGATGTGCACTTTGAAGCTCCTTCCCCCAAATGCTTGTCTGAACTTGCGCTAAGCTCTGTAATGTTGGACTCTGTTTTGTGTGATCCCCCCCCCCCCTGGAACAGTGGAACCAGTCGGCGGGACTCATTAAAAGGAGGTCCAACATTAAACATTTGGCTTCTCCAAGTACCCCTCCACTGTTGGCACCCGCCAGTGGGTCCATGAATCCAGTGGCCTCCGACCTCCCGCAGGCGGCGGCCGAGATCTGCCGCGCGGAGGGCGCGGCGGTGGAGATCCGGGAGAACCCGCCGCTCGATGTTCGCCGAACGGCGGGTGGGAGCCGAAATCCGCATAAAAAACGCACCACCGCTCAGAGAAACCCAACGGAATGATGTAGGATCCCCCTGTAAATACCAACAAACGATGAATTCCCGTGGTTTGTTAGGTGGTGCGGAATGGTTTTCGTCCATCAACCCTGGCTTCTGACTCGATTCCCTTGTAAATACCGTATCAAACGTTGTCGTTTCAGCCACGGTTTCTTGGGTGGTGCGAAATGGTTTTCGTCCATGCAACATATGTGTTGCTGTGAAAATATGTTTGCAGGTTCTACACGTTTGGGTGTGTCTTTTTTAGGGGACCCCCCAAACATGGCGTCAGTTTTCCTTTTTGGTTTTCCTTTCAGACCAACCAACATAATATTCCAACAAAAAAGAGACACAACGAATTCATGGGCCAAAATCATACTCCCCAAAAAATAATGTTCCCCCCCAAAAAATATTCTCCCAATCTCGTCTCAGTGGCTGCAGCAAATCGATTTTGCTACATGGGCTTCAAGGATCCCAAAGGTCAGGTTCGGGTTCGCCCAAAAAAACGGCTCGCGTGTTTTGGTTGGCCTGTTCATGCCCAAGAAGGGGGTCCATCACTTCCAAAAGGAGATTCCTCGAATGCATGGGTTTGGGGTTCCAGGATAGTCGGGGAATATCCTGAAGGTTGTTCTTGAAATTTTCTTTTAGCTTATGGGTTGTTCGCTTTTCTTTTCACCCTTTCTTCTGAGCAGCCACGGAAAGTGCGAAAGCGCCGAGTTGGACCCATGGCTAGTTGGTCATAGTCTCGCTTAGGGGTAACTAGGGATGGTCATGGACCCTTGAGGTAATTTAGACCATAAGGGTGTGTCTCTTTGTTTAGAGGAGAGCGCCCCCCAACAAGAAATTGTGGTTTTCCTTTTGGTTTCCCTCTCAAGGCACAGCCATCCATGACCCACAGACTCGTTGAGTTTTGACCATGGCAGCATACCCGTGTTGCTCGAATGCCTGCAAAGGTTCTATGCGGGTAAATCCCTCGATGAGGTGCGGCTGGTGGGCTGGAAGTTGTTTTTCGCAGCCCGGTGTGGAACCGGGCGCCCTTTCTTGGTTTTTGTTGGGAGCCACCCTGAGGACAATTGTGGAGTCCCTAAGGGGTGGTCCAAGAAGGGGTTTTTTGAGGCTCTCTAAGGAACCCTGGAAAGCAGTAGGAAACCGAGGGCTCTCTACCCACCCCCCTTGCCTACCCCCTTACGGATTCGACAAGTAAATTTCAAGCCGCCTAGGTATCACTCCGTTTGTGGGGCTCTCCCCCACTAGCCCCATTCATTCCTTCACAGGGAAAGAATGAACACTGCCTTCCTCGTTGTTCAAGCCACATTTTGCACAACGCCATTTGGGTGCGTCTCAAAATAGGGGACCCACCCAAAACGCTAGTTTTCTTCTTGGTTTCCCTTCAAAGCCACAAAAAAGAGGCACCAACTCCAAGACAAGACAGACCCATGTACTGCGGCCTCTGGTGGATTCTCCAGATATGACGTCTCAGAGCCCATCGATTTGCCCGGCCTAGGGCCAAGTTGTTGTGCCCCAAAATGGGCCTTGGCAGAAAGTTTAGTACCTCGATGCATGGAGGTGAGAGCATGGCCTCTTGAAGCCTTTATCACCAATAGATCTATTGCGGATAGAATGGTTCAGGGGTTGCTTCCCCATTCTTTTCAACCATCGTTCTTTTCAAAAGCCAGCTGTTTCCCTGGGTTTTTGATGGTTTCCTGAAAAGAAGGATCCATGGAAAGAATGGAAATGGAAGGTAGCACTAGAATGGTGCTCTGATTGGGTCTTGTGGGAGCGGCACATAGAGAGAGGGAGAGAGAGCGAGAGAGAGAGAGAGAGAGAGAGAGAGAACTCTTGGGTTCTGACTTAGCTTCGGGTCTTGGCGAATCCGTTTGGAGAGGTCACCTATGCTCATTTCCACCACAAAAACACACAGACGCAATCCCAGGAACGGAGTTGTCCACTGACCTTTGGCACATTTTGGTGAAGACTTACACATAATTCTACCCTAGGAGGGGAACCCCTAAGGACCCCTCGCCAAATTTATTCCGCCAGGGTGAAAGCAGATGGCACACATGATGTGTGACCAACACGGGTTGTGATTGCGACACCTCTTTTATGAGACCATAAAGTCCAGTTTCTCACAACCATACTGGTATGTGTCTTTCCGGAGGTCAACCCCGTTTTGGGGGTTTGAAAGGGAACTCTTTTTGTGCCATCTACTTTCAGACAACTGTTCGTCTTTTTGGTGCCACCCTTTTTGTGTCTTGGTTCTGTTCATTTTGAGTGGGCTGCAGAACACAACCCTTGTTTGCGAGCATTCCGATTTTTGGGAAGCCAAGATACTCTTTCTGGCAGGTAGGCACCTTCCACCGCTTCGCGGTGATCCTGGCCCCCAACGGGCTGAGCGGCCAAAACGGCGTCTGCCGGACGAATTGAGGGCCAAAGGTGCCTTGACGTGTGAGCCAAACATGGACCTCCCCACCCCCAGCTCCCCCCCACAACTTTGGAGCAAACAAGCAACAACTTATAGGTGAGGAGAGACACAATCGGGCCCATACAAGGTTGGATGTGAGAAGGGTTCTGAGAATCTTTGCTAGGGAGCGGGGGTGGGGGTTGGTTTGCGTCCTGACTTGAGTATGACTTTGCGAGACAGGAACGCCATGGGACCCATGGGATGTTGAGTTTTCCACGCAAATTAAAAAGCTAACATGCCCAGCCTCCCTTGAAAAACCAGCTCTTTGGCGACCCCCAAGAAAGACAGAAAACTGAGACTGGTGTTTTCTTGGGAAAAGAGAGGGAAAGGAGACGAGTGGCTTTCTGGTCGTTTTTTTTGGTGACATGATGGGCACCCCATCCTCCCGTGGCATTCCAGTCTTCTTTATGAACAAGCCTGGCTCGTTTGCCGACCCTCAGCTTCCAGATTCCTTCCTTTTTTGGCGAGCGCATTTTTTTTGCTTGTTCAATCCGACAGAATCCTAGGCAAAAACAAGCAGCAAACATTCTGGCGGTTTCCCCATTCTGAGAACTTCAGATGCTCAACCCTCGCGCCAAAACTGTCGCGGGGTTACCCTTTCGTTCCCTTAGCCCTGGGTCCTGTGCAGACAAGACAAGGAGTTCTGAGCCTGGTCGTACCTCTTTAAAAAAAAACAAAAAACAATCCATTAACCAGGGTTCCATTTACCAGGGTTCCATTTTGGAATTCCGTTTTTTTGAGCCCTTACCTCTTAAAAACACCACTTTTCTCCACTTTTTGGGTAGCATGGGCTATATGTCTGTAAAAGATGAGAACTTCCCCAGGGCGCAGGGAGTTTTAAGGGGTAAGTAGTGGTCAAGGGGTGACCTCACCAGCCTGAGTAACCCTGGCAGGGGTTTTGGGTCGGGGCGGAAGTCGGAGACTGGGACGTTGCCTACCGTGCCAGCTGTTGGTGACTTTATTGCATGTCTCTGTGTCTGCGAGGTAGCTTTTGATACCCATCCGCAAAGCAGCTTCAAGATGCATCCTTAAAATCACGCTGTGCATGGTGGTCAACCGATGGATTGAAAGGACCCCCCCCCTAAGAGTAAGTTAGAGTAAGTTTGAGAACCCACCAAAAGCCGCGCCTTCGTGGCTTTTGTTCACTTTCTCGGGCTGAAGAACATGGAAACACTGGGGCAGCGATATTCCTAGTTTTCTGAAAGGCACATTGGAGTAACTCTGAAGGACATCTCAGTGTTCTTCCCTCGAGTTGGTTGTTGGCCGATGGGGTGGCTCCTTTGAGTGCCACTTGGTCTCTCTTAGAACCCCAAAAAGGGCACCGGCTGCTTGGGTCGAAAGGGAGCCAGGTCCGGAGGAAGCGTCCGCAATACCAAGCGCGCGGCTCGATAGACAATGCGTGCCGGGGTGGTCCTTTTCGAAAGACCTGATGTGGCTGTGGCTCAAAAAACCGGTACCAAAATGGAACCCTGGTAAGTGGAAACATGGACCAAAACCTGCGCAACACCCATGTACGGATATCCCCCTAACCGTTAAGTCTTCCGCTTGGAGTCTGCAAAACTGGTCCACGGAAAGGCGACAGGGACCACCCTGCACAACGAAAACGAAAGAAAAAACATGGTGCGCAGCTTTGGCCTGGCTTTTTTTTTCGGCCGCAAGGCGCCTTGCGGCCCCAGACAATGTGATCTGAGGCCCCTTCGAACGGAACTTCAAGAAAGGGGGGGGTTTTCTGATCGTTGGAAGGTCAGAGAAGATCCCGTCTCGGCGAACTCTGTGCTAGGCGGTGGTGTGTTCTTCTATTAGTGGAAATATAAAGACAACCAGAACGGCACCGTGAGAAATGAGAAATGAGCTGCTTGGTGGCTCCCAGCCGTCCCCCTTAGCCTTCTAGCTTTTTAGTGTTTAGTGGCAGTTTTCATTTAACCCACTAAAAGTCACTTTGTAGCGGGGGCAGCCCAGGCTCCCTTTCTTTCCCAAAAAAGGGTGTCAAAAGGCCAATGCATGCTTACTGAAACCTTATGGGAGGTCGATACCTATTTTGGGGGTGGTTGAAGGGGAAGTCTCCCAAAAAGAGGGTGCACTGGGTTTTGTGGCAAAAGCAACCCTCCTTGATCACAGCTAGAAGCCCGCAGCACGGTCGTCGCACTGTTCGACACGACTGTAGCAGGGTTTGTTTCAAAGCTGCCCGAAATGGTTGCTTTCCCATTAGTTTCCCTTTAAAACACACACACACACCCCAGAAAGAGTGCCCTTATACAAAACACATCCGTATTTCACTTGCGGTTGCCAATTCTATTTGTGAGCTTCTTTTTTGGTGGGTAGATTTGAACGGACAAAGACACGCATGCACATATAGGCACACGCATGCATATACACATATACACCAACGAAACACAGTGTCTTATATAGCCTTTGCAAGGGTCTAACTGCATATTTCAGGGTTAGCGGTAGATTGGGACACCAGTGGCATTCATGCTGGATGATTCATCTTTCCAAATATTACCTCTTCACTCACTTCCTGAGTTCCTGGACTTAAACACTTTTTGGGAAGACCATTTTGGTGGTACGCAACACATTACCTCAGCAAGTGAGTTCAGATATCACCCCACCAAAAGGAAACTGACTTCGAATTGTCCCAAAGGGTAATTTTTAAAGTCTCCAAAGGGGACAACTCTCGGGAACCAGGATAAGGAACCAGGATGAATCCATTCGGGGCGCGCGTGTGTGTGTGTGTGTGTGTGTGTGTGTGTGTGTGTGTGTGTGTGTGTGTGTGTGTGTGTGTGTGTGTGTGTGTGTGTGTGTGTGTTGTGTGTGTGTGTGTGTGTGTGTGTGTGTGCGCCCTGTTTTTCCATCGATCTGGAGGGTTGCTCAATGTCAGGGTGCCTAGGACACATTTGGGCCGGTGAGACCAAATGCTGAGGACCTCCTACCGTGGGCGGGTTTTAGATGTATTCTTCCAAGAACCATGTTTCAGGCCCAATCTGAGGGCAGGGCCACCAAAAGTGCGGGGGGAGAGGGGGGGGGAGCAACTTTTCCCTTGCAAGAATGGTCATCCCATGTGTACCGGATCTTTTGAACAGTCGGAACCTAAGAAGTTAAAGAACCCAGTTGAGGCCTGAAGCCTTTAAGATGTAAACCTGACCATGTTTCAGGCCGAATCTGAGGGCAGCCACTGGGCAACCGGCAGCCGATTTTAATTCCACAAACCGCGAGGAGGAAGAAGGCAGAGGAGGAAGGAGTTCGTGCCCCACGGGGCAGGGGAGTGAAGGGCAGCAGGTCAGATTCCTGCTTTTTTGCTGCAGGTTTTTTGCCTTTTTGGCTTTTGTAGTGTTTAGCGGTAGTTTCCATTCAACCCACTAAAAGCGGGGGATCTGGAAACAATCATGACACATCTTCTCAGCGTAGTGAGGGGATTCAGGGGGGCAGTAGATGCACGGGATGCAGGGGATGCATGGGGATGCAGGGGATGCAGGGGATGCAGGGGGAACATGGGACGTAGGAGATGCAGGATGCAGGGCATGCAGGGGATGCAGGGAATGCAGGGCATGCAGGGGATGCAGGGAATGCAGGGCATGCGGGGGATGCGGGGGATGCAGGGGATGCATGCGGGGGATGCAGGGGATGCAGGGGATGCAGGGGATGCAGGGGATGCAGGGGATTCAGGGGGGCAGTAGATGCACGGGATGCAGGGGATGCATGGGGATGCAGGGGATGCAGGGGATGCAGGGGGAACATGGGACGTAGGAGATGCAGGATGCAGGGCATGCAGGGGATGCAGGGAATGCAGGGCATGCAGGGGATGCAGGGAATGCAGGGCATGCGGGGGATGCGGGGGATGCAGGGGATGCATGCGGGGGATGCAGGGGATGCAGGGGATGCAGGGGATGCAGGGGATGCAGGGGATGCAGGGGATGCAGGGGATGCAGGGGATGCAGGGGATGCATGGGGATGCAGGGGATGCAGGGGATGCACGGGATGCAGGGGATGCGGGGGATGCAAGGGATGCAGATGATGCAGGGGATGCAGGGATGCAGGGGATGCAGGGGATGCATCGGGATGCACGGGCTGCGGCAGTGGGTGTGTGCAATTCATGTTGGAGAGGATAGTGGAAATTTGGAGGTGCTGAAGATGCCGGATGATGGTGATGATGACGACGATGATGATGGTGGTGATGATGACAACGCTAAAGACGATGATGATGATGATGATGATGATGATGATGATGATGATGATGATGATGATGATGATGATGATGATGATGATGATCACGCTGATGAGGCTTTGCGGCGCCAGGAAGATGAACAGAAGGTCCACAGAGAAAGGATGCTTTATGTGTGGTTTTAGGGTTCCATGTTAATGTCTGCAAGTGCGCCAGCTTGCTCTCAGTGATATCGAATTGCTTCTGCTGTCCAGAGTTCGAGCGTGTTTTTCGAGAAGCTCACCCAGTCGCTTTTCCTGTATATACACAACCCATCACGTAACTACCGGAGCTGGCATCGGCAAATGACTCATTTGATTTGGCAATCATTCTTAAGGCAATGATTAGATTTGGTTTGGCTATCATCTGAGCAAACTCCCCTAGATAAAGGTCAGTGAGGAATAGTCCGAACCGACAAAAGGGGCGGTTGCCCTTTAATCGTTTTGTCTGCACCTAGCGAGGTACCAAGCATCCCCACCCCTCCCCTCCCCAAAAAATGGGATTGGGAAGGGGTGACGCCTCAAAAACTCAATTTATAGTTCCATTTCTCTTTTGTTGGCCATCCCCCCCTTCCTAAAAATGGAATTGAGGAAGTGGGTGACCCTTGGAATTTATAGTTTGTATCCGTCGCGCTGTGAGGCCAAGAGCCACGCCAGGCCACGGGAAGTTGGGGATGCCTTGCCTGATCATTCTTTTTTTGGACCCCCGCAAGCTTCCAGCTGGTTTTAAAGGGAATCGATTTCGGTACTGGACATTTTCTTTCATTTTGCCAGGGGACTTCTCAGCAATTGGAGGAAACTGGGTGGGTTTTTTCTGTCTGATGAGTTGTGTTTGTCCTTGAAGCCCGCCTACGTCCCCCAGCTAGGTGCCAACTTTTATCGTTTCTTTTTTTTGGTTGGGAGGTTCCAGCGGTCTGGTGGTGCAGCCTTTGATTGTTGGAATTTGGAAACCAGAAAAGCATATCCTTTGATATTGGAAACCAGCTAAAATAGGTCCCCCAGTAGTGCCTTTTTACCTTTCTTTGGTTGGGAGGGTTCCCGGTGTCTAAAATAGACGTCCTAAAAGTAGATTGGATCTTGATCCTTCGTTTTCCCCCCGAATCGGTGAGCTCGCCAGAATCGGAAACTCACGAGCGTTTGGCCTGCGGTCAATGAATCCGTTGAGACGCCCCCGGCCGGTCGGCGTGAGGCCCGCAACAAAAGAATCCGGGCGGAGTCACGCCCAAAGAGAAAGACAAAAATACCGAGACAAAGCGCACTCAATGCGTCCTGCCGAACTATCTACGAATTCGCATAAGCCTAAGGAAATTGGTATATCTCACATCATCTGAAATCGAGTCCAATGCGCTGGGCCGAAGTTGCAGCAAGGGCCCGGGTGACTGAACATGCACACTCTGGAAGCTGCCAAAATGCACCGCCCTAGTGACAGTTTCAATGGTCTCCTTTGGATAAAGCATCTCAGGCCGTCGGGTCCATCCTCTGCGCATTTTGTTGCAACCGTAATTGCGCAAAAACTGGCCCTGGCACTTAAGCTCATGTGGCGTAAGAAGCAAACCAAAAAGGCGTTTACACTGAAAGTCAATGGAGTCAAGTGTTCGCATGGCTTCCTCAAAGGCACAAGGAATCAACGCAACTTCTGCGGCCTGAGTTTCATGACGGAAAACAACTCTAGCTGCTTTCCGCGAGACTTGGCGCGGGAAAGCAACTCCTGTGACCAAGATGAAATTTATCAGCAACTCAACAAGGGAGACCCCGGGGTCATGCTCGGCCTGCTCTACTGGCCATCGGAGCGTTTGGGCCCACTCAAGAACAAGGCATGTAAAAGCACTTCCCCAAGGACAGCCTGACAGCTGGTCATCATTCAGCACAGGAACATGGAGCTGAACCCCCCCACGCGGGTGCCATTCCAACAAGTTCGTTGGCGAACATGAATGTTTGGCATCTTTATTGGCTTGTGCTTTTCTTTTATCGCAAGCATCCATTCTGGTCTTGTCAATCTCAATCGTCAAGTCAAGAAATTTGCCTCGCAGCCGTCTTTGTTTTTTGTAGAAATCGAGGACTTCGCGCGCCTGCTGATGCAGCCTATTATTGTTATAACTGGCTGCAGATTTTGCCGCAAAGTCCACAGCAGTACTACCAAGGATTGCATAATTGTCTAAGTCAGCATTGCAAGGACTTACCGTCTGGTGAGCCTTGATCTTTAAGACTAAGAAATCAGCAGGGTCCTTGGTCCGGAAGATTTCACACAAATGGACGATTACGTCAAAATTTTCTGCCTTGAGGAAATCAATTTCATGCGGGCATTTTTGAATTGATACGACCAGGTCACGGGCGTACTTGGAATCAGTCACAATGATGGCAGTTTCACATGATCGGATTACTTGGACTATTGCAACAAGCTCAGCACGGGCTACCGTCTGATTTCCATGTACAGTGGAGGATTGCACACAATGGAAGGTGTTGGGCACCCTGTACGTTTCACGGAAATGTCTGGAAGCAGTGGCTCTGTCTGCATCATCTTCTGCAAGGTCCTCAACAATGGCCCACGCCGCAATGCTCCCAAACGGTTCCTGCGGTTCAAACGATGAGGCGTCGGTGTAAAACACAGCGTTTGGCCCATTTAGGGCGCTCCGAGGAGCTCCATTGTGGATCAGAATCTATGGGGGGATGTTTGGAACTGCCCCCAAAAATGGTCATGTGTTGGGAAAGGTCCGTTTCCCTTAATTTCAGCCAGAAAACAGAGGTGCATTTTGCTTGGCAGTTAGGACTTTAACTTTTTGCCAACTAATGGGTTTTCCATTAAACCACTAAAAGTTATTCACTTTTAGCAGGGGAGCAGAAAGCAATCGAGAAAAGGGTACCCACAAAAAATGGTCGGACTCACAGATCTGTTGGGAAAAGCGCTGAGGTCCTTTACCTTGTGAAGGTCGAGACTTGTCCTTTGATCACCCCCTTTAGGGGGTCCCCCAGTAAGGCCCTTTTACCCTTTTTTGAAGGAGGGTTCCCCAAGCCGCCAAGAAGGTTCTGGAAGGAACCTTTCCCGTGCGGCCTGTTGCTTTCGCCGAAGGTATCGTTTTGTTTGCCCAGCCAGACGGCTAGGGCACCGTTCAAGCCGGAAGAAGCGTTGGTTGCCGTGGGCAGAAGCAAGGGGACTCATGCCCACACAAGTAAATTCTCACGTGGGATTGATAACCTCCGGTCAACTAATAGTGGGAACTCCGCTTGCAATCAGGCACACTCCCTCAGACTAACATGGAAGCTCCCAGAAGGCCTCTGCAAATGGAACCAAGTCTTCCAAAGGGGTCTTGGGAGCTTCCATGTTAGTCTGGAGGGTAGGATGGGTTCATTCATCCGAAGTTAACATCGGGAATGCGGGCAAGCATAGTTTTGGCCCCTCCCAGTGACGCAGTGTCGCAACGAGCCAAGCAAACCAGAGCCAAACGGTAGGGTCCTGCTTGTTTTGTTGCCTCCCATTTGATTTGGTTAAGAATATTTTTTATTTTCCCGTGTTGGTTTTAAAGGGAATTTATCATTACTTTTTTTTTTCCAGGGGACTTAAGCATATGGAGGTTGCTAGTTCCTGACAATCTTGTTGAGAGTCTGTTCCTAGTTTGGGGAGGACATGGGGGGGCCACCCACATCATCCGCGAATGCCAAGGAGCTCCTATCAGGAGAGCCTTACCGAAGTTTAAGAGATGGGTTCCAGCCTGCATCACGTACGTGCATTTGTTGGAGTCCGTTTAGGAACAGCTAAAATGGGAAGCTGTCCAAATCCTTTTTTTGACGTAGTCCATAGAGGTCCATGAAGGTGTGACTGGACTCGAACGCGCTAGGCCGCCTCCCAAGGAGCTGTCCAGGGTGGCCGCACGTCGCATTGTTGGGTGACTGCTTGAGTGGGACGCAGAAGTGGCCATGGGTCAAAATCCAAATCGTACCCCCAGTGAGCATCCCAATCCCCACAGTTGACTAAAATGGGTGGTGCACCTACCCCAAAATGGTACCATTGGTTTTGATCCACAGGCAAGTAACCCTGATGAAGGAAACCGCGAGGTACCATGCTGCTCCAGCGTCTCCTGCATCAGCATTTTTGGCATCACCAGCATCCCCAAAAGTTTCATCATTTCCAGCCTTGTCAGCCGCATCTCCAGTATCAGAATCTCAAGCATCATTCATCCAAAGCATCCAAAAGTGAAGCATCCCCACAAGCATCAAGCATTGTGATCTTCGCTTGGCATGTTGACAACATTCCTCAGCATTGCTCCCACCCGCCATCCAACAACCAAGATGCGCCTCCCCCCCACGGCCAGCTTTGCTCCCTGTGGAACATATTTCTGTCCTCTTTATTTTGGGTAATGACCAACCATTTTTACAGGGTCCTTAAGAGACTCCAGGTCCATACTTGTCCCTATGTCATGGTGAGGAAAAAGATGATGGCCCTGGTTTACCCGGCGGTATCATCTACCAGGGCATCGATTTTCGACCTCACCAAGCAAAAAGGAGACCTATGCTTTTATATATATATATATATATATATATGTCCCCGACGAACGTGTGCAGGGATCACTGGGTAGTGTGCACCCAGAGTTGGTTGGTGGGGGTTAGTGCAAACCGTCTGAGGGAATCTTGACCATGGCTCATTTGCATCATGTAAAGATGTGGTCCCAAAACAAATCTTAGACGGTTGGCATGGATGGTTACACCAACCATCCACAGACCCGACTCACTTTGTTGCCCCTTGCTTCGAGCTATGACGTATCGGCTCTGAAAGCATCTCTTTTCACCCTCCCTCCAAACATGGAACGAGGGGAACGTTTGAAGCGCTCGTGCTCCAAAGCAGGTAGAACCCCCAAACAACGCCTGGACCCGATTGTTTGCCGCCAGCCTCTTCGGTACCCTACCCAGAAAGGGGTTGTTTCTGTGAACCAAGGGAGCGATATCGTGTGATCTTAGGATACTTCCAAACGGTGCCGCCTCTCCCCTGGTTGCACCAAAAACAGATTTGTCTCCTAATTCGGGCAACCTGAAGCTTTTGGGGAACCCAAAAAACCCGCCACCCCGCTTGCCAGGTTGTTCTCCAAAGCCATGTTTTTCTAATTATTTCCGTTGTTTTGTGACTTTTGCTTGGTGGCAAAGAAGCTGAGGTAGTCTTTCAACCGGGCGTTTTGGAAGCCTCTGATTTTTGAGGGTAATCTTTTGTGCCGGGTTCCTTTTAAAACGAACACCCAAAGGACCCCACCCAGTTCTTGAATCGCGGTGGGTGCAGAGCGGCGATTGGCATTCACCCGAAATGGACCCCAGGTTGGTCTGGCAAGCTGGGGCCCAAGGGCGACTAAACTAGGTCCCCCAGTAGTGCCCTTTTTCCGTTTCTTTTTTGCGGGGAGGGTGACCCTACTAAAATAGACTACCGAAAACAAGTTGGTACCCTTATTCTAACCTCTCTACTGGAGGACCTAGTAAAGACCAGGGTAGTGGCCCATATCAGATGATTTGCAGTCACCAGGCTTGCCTGGCACCACTCCTTGCAATCGCGTCGGCCGCAGATCTCTCGCTGAGTCGCCTGAAGCATGAGGTTGCAAAAGATACCCCCAGGCTAACATGAAAGCTCCCAGGACCCGTTTGGAAGACCGGGTTCCATTTGCAGAGGCCTTCTGGGAGCTTCCATGTTAGTCTGAGGAAGTGTAAGGCTTTATGTTTCTGGGGGGAGATGTCTGCAATTTGGGTCTGTTTGTTTTTTGGGGTACCCGTTTTGGGGCTGCTGTAGAGAACCCAAAGGAACACCCGATAAAACAAAGTTTATGCATAGGGGGGCGCCATTGGGTTTAGTCGGTAATCAGACCACTTTTGGAGGGGCCCCCACCCTCATATTCATAAACTGGGGCTGATGAATCCATCGACATTACTTGGTGGTTTGGGATTCAAACCCCAGTTCCTCTTGATTCCAAATGGGGAAGTCCCTGGTAGTCATCACATTTGGAGGGGAACCCCCACCCCCTCTAGACAGGGGTTGATGAATCCGGGCGACGTTACTTGGCGGTTCGGGATTAGACCCCCAGTTCCTTTTGAAACCAAATGGTAGTCATCACATTTGGAGGGCCCCTTTTCGACTGAAAAGACAGGTGCCCTTTTACCAACCTTTTTTGGGGGAGGGCACCCCTACTAAAAGAGACTACAGAAAAAGTTGGTACCAACTTAACTAACCTCAAACTACTGGAGGACCTAGTTATAGAGACCCCCAACCCCCCCAAAAAAAGACAGGGGTTGATGAATCCTTCGGGTCAACATCAACCTAGCAGGGATTCCCTGAAAGGAAACGACACCACCGCAAGGCATGCGTGTTTTTTTGTTTTTCCCTCTTCGAAAGGAAAGCGGCGCCGCGCCTTTTTTTGTTTCTCCCCCCGCCGAGAGCGCGAGCTCGGCGCGACGCGCCCAGAGAGAGCTCCAGGAGACCAGCGCTTACCCGCGGTCCATGGGGGCGCCGCTGCCCGGGGGGATGCCGCTGGTGCCGTCCTTCGGCTCCCAGGCGGCGGCGCATTCGACGAGTCGATGCGGAGTCGACCCGAGCGAGGGCTCCTTACCCCCACTAAAAGTTGTTGTTGGGAAACATTTTTCAGATTTTTGATCTTATTGTGATTTAGTGGTTGAAATCCAACCACTTGGCTGCTAAAAATTGAGATTCTTTGCTCCCCTTTCAACGTCAACCAAGAAAAGAAAGGCAAGGACCATCGCAGGTAAAGATCCTGTTAACCTAAGGAGTTTTTCCCTTTAAACCAAGAACGGGATTTCCTAGAACGGCAGTACCACCTTTGGGCATACGACCAGATACAAGACCAAGATATAAGATAGCACCAAACGTTGACCCGCAGCTTCAATCAAACCCCACCAGGGTTGTGGAATCAAGGGGTGTATTCCCACTTCTGTGATACAAGGGAATCTCCCCAATATGGGGTGTTAGTCTTTGGGAAGCCCTTTTTGTTGTATCACAGAAGTTGGAGGATGGCAATCCTTAGGTAAACCATGGTGGTTTGTTTTATGAGCCCAACCATTGTTTGAAGGGTGGTTTGAATTCCAGGGCTCGATGCGCAGTCGATGCGGGGGTGCGACCGCGCGACCACTTCCCCCCCCCTTCCCCCTTGACCAGTTTCCCTAGATGAATAATGGGAAGCTTGGGGAGGCCATTTTTCGCTGATCATGGACGTTCACAGGAAAGTTTTGAAGACTGCCATTGTGACAAATCAGGAAAGTGGTGTTTTGGGAGTGCTTTGTTGGGATATCGTTTTGTTGGGATAGTCCTGGCAGCCTTGTTTTGTAGGAACGGCAACAAAAGGGCTGGATTTTAATAGGGAGCCGTCTCATGCTGACATGAATCCCCACCAAATTTTGATGTCCACCAAATCGATTTCACTCCATTTTTTTTGGGCTGGGTTTTTTCACCCCACTTTTTGCGTAAAGGTTCGGTCTCCATCTGGGTTGGGGACATGAACGGACTCACGGTTCGACATTTTGGGAACCCAGGACGGACCCCGAAATGTCAACCACGAAAACTAGGGGGCCGAACTTCAATTTTCCCACGTCCTTGGTCGAAAAAGTGCACATCTTGACAGTGGTTCTCCCAAAATAGGGGGGGGGGGGTGGGATGGCAGGATGCCAAAGGAAAAACCAGCAAGCCATTTTTCAGGGTTCTTCGATGACAGTATTGGAAGCGCCAATCTCACCAAATTGGTGGTTGTGACTGGTGGCTTGGATTGTGCAAGTGCGAAACGCCGCCTAACGTCCAAACCTTATTCAAACCGCCGGAAGATGGAATCAGGTTCAAGCTTTGGCCTCATAGGAATGGTTTCCCCTTCGGCCCAGGACCTGCTTATTGGCTTCAACTTCTTCAGATCCTTTTGCGATCCCCTTTTTAGGGAACATCCTTATGCATAAAATTGTCTTGGCGTGGCTTTGTTTTGGGACCCCACTGGAATGGATTTCGGGGGTCCTTTTGCTTTCCTCCAAAAAGCCAGAAAAGCATGTAGCTTCAAACAAACTTGGCGGCTCAGCTTTTTAGCCTTTTAGCCTTTTAGCGTTTAGTGGGTAGTTTCCATTTCACCCACTAAAAGTTATTCACTTTCAGCGGAGGGATCTGAAAAAACGGTCGGCCCAAAGACGAGCCCATCGCCTCACCGGCCGATTCCTCCGCTCGCTCCAGAAGCGCTCCGCGGGTGCGGCCAAGAAGTCCGACGATGCCCAGGCGAAACTCGGAGAGTCGGTTCAGAGCGATTTTCTCCGAAAGGGGCAACGTGGATCTCGGTTTTCCGAGCGGTTTCCCTGATTCACTGATCCCAAAAAAGTTGTTTGTTTTGGTTCTCGGTTTTCCGATTGGTTTCCCTGATCCCATTTTTGTTTGTTCTTGGTTTTCCGATTGGTTTCCCTGATCCCATTTTTGTTTGTTCTTGGTTTTCCGATTGGTTTCCCTGATCCCATTTTTATTTGTTCTTGGTTTTCCGATTGGTTTCCCTGATCCCATTTTTGTTTGTTCTTGGGTTTCCGATTGGTTTCCCTGATCCCATTTTTGTTTGTTCTTGGTTTTCCGATTGGTTTCCCGGATCCCATTTTTGTTTGTTCTTGGTTTTCCGATTGGTTTCCCTGATCCCATTTTTGTTTGTTCTTGGTTTTCCGATTGGTTTCCCGGATCCCAACAAAGGGTAACTCGAAAAGACCAATTTTTCCATGTTTTGATTCGCAGACACGGAGATCCAGTCTCACTTTCCCAAAGCTGACCTTGAAGAACTTTCAGTGGCCCCTTTCTTGGTTCCCATTTGTCTGTGGCAACCAAAAAGCCGGAATTCCAGAATGGAACCCTGGTAAGTGGAACCATGGACCAAAACCAGCGGTTTGCCCCCCCTGTTTAATTTTGAGCCACACCCATTTTTTGGTCAAGGCTTGAGGTGACGCTTTTATTTCTGGGTCCGACCTGGGGCACCTGAGTGGTTCCACGACTCTACCGGGCATCTACACCAGGAAGGTTCTTCTAGCTGGGTCAACGATGGGGGTTGTAAGAATTGTAATGCTGACCCAGGATCTAAGTAGAACCCGTCCCATCATTCGGGGGGTGTTGCCTCCAAAAGTGGTCTGAATCCCGACTAAACGGGGACACCCCCCTATTAATCAACCAGGGGTGTAGTACTCCGGGGTTAACATTATGAGCTTCACAACCGTGGAAGAACACAGCGTCTGCTTCCTTGCGAAGGCCGCCTGAAGGCCTATATGGGTCTGGCTCAAATTAAGAAGGTAGGGTTACGCAGGCTTTAGTCTTTGTTTCCATCTACCAGTGTTCCATTTTCAGCACCCCTTTTTGACCCACAGCCATATAATTTATAGACCATTGTAACCATCTTAGACCCCAAAGTCAGTGGGGAGAAAAGGGCGCCGCTCAAGCGACCTGCCCCGGGCTGGTTGCTCACCTTTGGCTTCTCTTTGGCCGGATATCTTTGCTGGGACCTCTTTGGACACGCTTATATAGTTTAAGGATTTTCATAATATATTTAATTAGAAGGACATTTTTCGAACATAATAGCATCTTAATTGTATATATAGCATTTTAATTATCATTTAAGTTATACTAATTTGAATTATATATAGAGCATGTTTTGGACGATAATGCGCATATTTAGTTTTGTTGGGGGTGCAAAAGCTGATCTGGTTTTGGTCCAATGTGGCCCTTACTCCCCGGTTTAACATGAAGCCAACAAGAACCGTCGTTGTTCGAGGTGAGGAAACCCCGTTGTGGTTGATCACTTAAATGCCGCTGCTTTCTTCTGGGCTATCTGATGCCAAGCATGGCTCGAAGCCGCACACGCTGTGTCAAAGCAACAACCAGCTAGCCCAAGCACAATCCAGAACATTTGTGCCAACATAGCCCAACCAACCAGCCGAACCGTGGGCTTCAACCTGGCCAAGGCGGAAGCTAGTTTACCAGATGTCAAACAGCGGTTAGCCAAGAAGAATTCAGCCATGGTAAGAGAGATTACGGTGCGACAGCTGTCCGGGCAGGAAGGCCTTTTCAGAGTGACCCCGCGAACGACTGTCTGTAAGTTCAAGAGGCAGCTGCACAGGTGGCTGCCCTGTGCAGATGAATCACAGCGCAACATGAGCTCGGTGGTGGTGGTTGTGGCAGATAGGCCCCTATTAAACAACAAGGAGATGGTGTCTAAGGCAATTCCAGGTGCAGAAGTTTTGGCTTTTCTCAGCATAAAGCCGGTGACGTGCTCAAGCTTCGAAGCCTCCAGTGTTGAGGCTGAGGATTTGCGCGTAGTGGAAATTCCTGGAGGAGTGACTGAGATTGAGCGTCATGCCTTCTGTGAGTGTTGTTCATTGGCAAAGGTGACCATCCCCGACTCCGTCACTCGGATTGGAGGATTTGCCTTTGCAGATTGCAGCTCGTTGGCAAATGTGACCATCCCCGACTCTGTGACTGAGATCGGAGCAGGTGCCTTCAAAGGTTGCAGCTCATTGGGAAGCATCACCATCCCCGGATCAGTTACTTGGATTGAAGAAAATGCTTTCGCCGGTTGCATCTCATTGGCAAGCGTGACCATCCCCAACTCGGTCACTCGCATTGGGCGTGATGCCTTCCAAGGTTGCAGCTCGTTGGCAAATGCGATCATCCCTGACTCCGTGACTGAGATTGAGTTTGCTGCCTTCGAAGGTTGCAGCTCATTGGCAAACATGGCCATTCCTGACTCGGTGACTCAGATTAGAGAGTATGCCTTCTTAGGCTGCAGTTCATTGGCAAACATCTCCATCCCTGACTCGGTGACGCAGATCGGAGGATTTGCCTTCTTAGGCTGCAGCTCATTGGCAAATGTGATGATCCCCGGCTCTGTGACTGAGATTGGAGCAGGAGCCTTCGAAGGTTGCAGCTCATTAGCGAACATGACCATCCCTGACTCGGTGACGCAGATTGGCGGATTTGCCTTCTTAGGCTGCAGCTCGTTGGCAAATGTGATCATTCCCGACTCTGTGGCTAAGATTGGAGCGGGTGCCTTCAAAGGTTGCAGCTTGATCATCATCCCCGACTGTGACTGAGATTGGAGAAAGGGCCTCCTTGGCAGTCAGGAGAACAAGGGATGACACCTTCTCCGGGAGCCCCACTGAGCAAATTTCACAGAACCCAACTAGATATGTCCACTTTTTAGAATTGAGGCTATGCCTCGCAAAAGTACTCCGCAGAACCCCCACATTTTTTTCACGAACAGCATGTACAGAAGCTGCTTCGCAGAACCCCGCCCAGGTGCCTCGCAGAACTACTTCGCAGAAGCCCCCTTAAAAGCAGAAGACCTTGCGGAACATGTTTGCCCACAACTCAGCAAGCTGGCCCTGTTTTGTTCTGCTGAAGCAAGACATCAGCGCTGTCGCCTGAAATCTGCCACAGTTTCACCAGATTTACCAGCTCCTGCGAGCCGGTGGTCAAAACACGCAGATAGCCGCGGCTGTTTTGGGGGTGTCAGGATGGTCAGGGATATGCAGCTTCAGACGTGGTGATGATAGCTGGAGCACTCCCTTGCTTTGGAGTAAAGAAGGAACTGGTGGGAAACATGTGCAAGTGATAATTATTGGCAACGGTCGATATTCACCACAGTACCACAGGGCACACTCACCAACATACATACCTTGAACACATGGTTGACTCAGCCAACTCACCAACATTTTCCTTGATACTTGGGGACACCTGCTAGCAATGACCGTTCTGCAGGACACCTGAATGAGTTTCGCGGAAGGGGCATGCCCCATCCAGCAGATTGAGCCTCAATCGAACCGGATGCATGCCCACTTAAAGGAACTGCTGAATTTCCTGCGATCTCCTAGTCGTATGAAGATAGTTTATATGTTCAGGTTCACTGAATGGGCAAAGGTTGAGGTATTTATGTAGCTTAGCAAGATGCACAATCACGGCAAGCAGAGATGCGCACGTCCCTTCAGCAAAAGCAACGCTGACAACACGTTTTAATGAGGAACACCCTCAGTGATTGGTGGACATCAATCCCTAAATGATTTGTGGCGTCCACCACACATTTCCCTATTTAGGAAGCACACCCAAATGTTAAAGGCCACCTTTGCATCTTGTACCTCTATGAGGGTAATTGAAAAGGTACGTTTCGCCTTTTTGTTCGAATCCTTGACTTCTTTCAACGGATGCAGGATGCTCGGGGTCCACAGGAGGAGTTTGATGTGACGCTCCTGTCTCCCGCGGCGCCTACCCTCGCTGATCAGCTCCTCCTTCCGAAATTGGGGCCCTTTCTTGTTGAACACCCCTCTGGTAACTTGAGACTTGACGGTCCATTGCGGGGGAAGACTTCGAACATGAAAGTGAAGAGCTCAAGGTGAAAGGTACCGCGGCCGAACTCTAAGCTACGACAAGACCGAACAATGGTGTCTGGACTCGAACTCGAAACAAGGCTGACGAGGCCGGTTTCCTTCCTCGAAAGCAATAAACACCTAAGCCGTTTCCATGGCGCCCTTTCACAATTCGCTACGCGCTTTGGGCGAGTCTCAACACGGTGCCTTGGAGGGAAGGATAAAATTTGTCCCGACACCAACGGCCTGAAGTCGCCGAGTTCGAGCGGCCCTTCTTTCTTTGCCAGGTTTGCTCTGGTCTTTTGCATTGCTCGAGCCGCCAGATTTTGGAATAACTTTTGGGCTGAACCTTAAAAGCTCCCAAATGAGATGATGCTCGAGCAGTACCTTGGCTGCTCTTTGGACCTTTCTCCGAAGGAAAGCCGGGGATTGGTTCTCTTTAATCCAGACCCCTGATCTTTGCTTGGACGAGAATGATCTTTAGCTTTTTGTTTGAACCGTTTCTCACCGGTTGGCAACCACGCAAAAGACCTGTTGCACGGGGCAAAGACCTGTAGTTCTTGGAATGGCCATGAGCCTGATTTGGGCCAAACCAAGGGCCAACCAACGCACAACAAGGCCGGGCCGTTTTTCTCCTGGAGGAGTTTAGTGGGAATCCCCCCCCCACAGCGACCGGGTACTGGCTCACTGTAGGCAACTTTTTGCTTAGATCCGGGGTCGACCATGGCATGATTTGAGCTCACAAGCCTGCCCCCGATCGCCAGGCACCAGCCGCAGGCGGGAACGGAAAAAAAAAAAAACGGGAGGGGCTGATGTTGCCCTCCTATCCTAGTGCAATGCTGGTGCGAGAGATGCAGGGAATGAGAGTTATGGAATGACCCCAAGAAAAACCATTCCTTGCTGGTGGTTTCCTTTGAGGGGACCAAAGCCTGGGTGTGTTCTATTTCTCATTCCCCACCTTTCGCACCAGCAAGTATCAAACATGAAGCCTGGCTTCCAAAGGTTCCAGGTTAAGGTTCTGTTGGAGGCGCCAGGGGGTTCCCTCCACCCCTTCAAAGAAAATCTTCCCAGGTTCTTCCACATCTTTCATGTGAGTGGAATTCAGGGTGCTTTGGGTTGGATCTCTTATTCCTCCCACCACTGTTTGAGCGGGAGTTTGGAGTGTGCGACTGTACTAGCAAAACGGGGGCTTTGCTTTTGGTTGCCTGCAAAGGGCATATAACCTCAAGAATCACACACAAGTACTGCCAGTAACGAGCAAGTCTGAAAGCTGTAACTTACCCTGCTGCTTTTGTTAAAGGGTTTTAGGGAATCCACAGGGGTCAGAAACGGGGCTCCTCTTTTCCCTCTTATAGTTACAGCAACTCTTGGAAAGGCAACTGTTCTCTGCGTGAGGGATGCCAGCACCCTCTCCCCTCCCGCTGGATCCGGTGGCTCAAGCCCTTGCCAGCCTTTTTTGGTGGTGTCTTTTGAGGATATCCTTTTCGGGGTCTTTGAACAAGCAACAGGAAACCCAATTTCTCGGGTCCTTCCATTGGAGAGCCCGAAGACCTCAAAACCCCCCGTTTTCGGGGCGGGTTTGGTCGCCTTCTTGTTGCTTGCATTCTGCTTGCCGAGGTGGCAGGGGGACATCAGACATTCTGCAAGGGTTTCCGAGCCGTTTTGGAAATTTTAACAGTGGCTTTCTCATTTCATGGACACCACCAGGAAACTTGTCCACTTTTGCTTCAGGGAAATCCAGCGACCGGTCCCTGACCCTATCCTGGCCAACAAATGTCTGATGAGAACATGGTAAAGATGGGCCGCCCAAGAAACCAACACTCCCTCAGACTACCATGGAAGGTCCCATTTACAGAGGCCTTCTGGGAGCTTCCATGTTAGCTGAGGGAGTGGAGTAACGATGCCTCTTGGGGTCGGTGTAAACTTCTCACCAAGTTTCCCACGAAAGGACCTCGTCTCTTAACGCGCGAGGAGGCGAGTTTGTGCACATCAGCTCCGGTGCTCTTGTGGTCTGAGTCCTGAACGGGATCGACCACAGGTTTCAGTCTTTGTTTCCATTTTGGGGTTGCCCATCTTTGACAATCACAGCCATGTGATCAACCAACCAGCAAGGTTTGTTTTTTCCCCCCAACAGCTGTCCCCTGATTTGGTGGTTTGGATTGGTGCGATTTGGATTTGATCCCCTGGTTCTAGAAGGTAATTCTAGAAGGTAAATGGGAATCCCCTCCTTAACCGAACCGAAACCACCGATTCGGCTCCAAACCACCAAACAACGAGGGACGCCGAGCTTCGGTGAGTTCTGCGTGGTAAATGAGGCGGGTACCTGCTGTTGAGAACACCCGGCCTCATCTGAGCATTCTTTTTGTTGTTGGGAACCCTTTGGTGGACATCATTTCGCTGGGGATTTACTTCACCAGTGGCGGCCATGGGTTTTCATGTTGGGTTGCTTATATATGTATATACACCAAATGTGAATGTTTGAATCAATACAGAAATAAACAAACAAACAATTAAGAACATCTACATGTAAAAAAAGAAACACAAAACCATACATAAACACAAGAACCAGCGGCAGACATGGGTATGACGTTTTTTTTTTTTTCTTTTCATAGGGCCCCTCCGCTACTTGGCCGCAGTTTTTGCCAGCGCTTTTTTGCGCCAGGGGCGCTGTCCTGGATGGACCAGGCCAAGCAGATCTTTGGTTCCAAGCCCAGGTGGCCATCATCCTCCCCCTCGCTCCGTCGCTCGAATCGGATGCGAATCGGATGCGAATCGGATTCGGGTGCAGAAGCGGGGGGGTTGGGGGTTTTTTGGGGTTAGACTGGGTAAAGGGGGGGGGGTTTGGGGTCTCAAATTTGGGTGGGTGGGTTAGACTGGGTACCCCAAAGTGGGCGAAAACAAAAAACTTGGGATCGGTGCGATAGGGGATGGGAATGAACCCAGGCTTTGGTCCCCTCAAAGGATGCAAGGGATGATTTATGAGGGTCATTCCCTCATTCCCTGCTGAGCACCAGCAAGAAATTGAAGGGGCTCTCAAGATGACTTTGGGGTCCTGGGTAGTTTGTACCTTTCAACCGCTATCGAGAGGGTCATTTTGAGGATGTCAGTTGAATGGAGTGTGTTTTGGGGGGCGGTTGACACATTCCTTGTAGGACAGTTGTGTTTGCAAGTTTCCTTTGGGTTGTTGTACATCTATTGAGTGGGTGTATCTTGGTTGATGATGTTCAAAGGGACCGTCTAAAGAGCTATGTGCCAAATTCTTCTGCACAAGAAATCGAATCGCTCTGACCGATTCGGGAGTGACATTTGGGGGATGTACCCCATGATGCTCTGATTACTGATTGGGGTTGTTTGGATTGTAGTATCCACCGCACCTGGCACGGGGTCCAGGCACGTCTAGCCCTCCCCCCTAGATATGGCTTTCGAAGGAAAGTCAAGCGAATGCAACTATTTAAGTAGGGAACCCCTAGTTTGGACTCCACTACTCCCACTTTGGGTGACTTGCTTCTTCTCGATTCTCGGCAGCGATCGTAAGACAAAGTTGCGATTGAAACTCCATGGGGGTGGTCTCAACCGGAACGGGGTTGTCCTTTTGAGGCCTACTGTGGATGGACGAAATCCTACACCACCTGGAAGCCATGGGAAACTATCCTTTGGTATTTACAAGGGATTCATCCTTCCAGAGTTTCATAGGTGGCGCAGGGATTTTGTCCATCCACAGTATGGTTGGGTTCCTCCTTCCAAAGTACGGTGTTGCAAGTAGATCAGCCACACTGCACCCCAAACCATGGTCAACTATGGCAATTCAGGGGGTTTCCCTGTTCCTGCTTGCAATACTTAAGGCATCCACCGTAGTTGATTCGTTTTGGCCTGGCTATGCCATGTTCCTTTTGGAGTCTCCGAAAGGACGACAATCGAGCAATCGCTCTCACATGTTGCAGAAGGGTGATTCGAGCTCACCGATTTGGGGGGGAAACGAGGAAACCGAGCGATTTAAATCCCCCATGATGAAGCTCCTTTCCTTGTTTCCTGTGTAAATGTTTTGCAGTGCCAATTGTTGGGTGAGCCTAAATGGGTTCTACATGGGGTCTAGGAAGGATAGGCTGCTACATAGACCGCGGGCCGCTGAGGTCATGGACCACCTGGTTGAAGGGATTAACTTTCCACCGGACCTCTAGTGGGGTCTGTTTTTCCTTGTTGGGAAACGGGGGGATTCCTTTAAAGTCAACTACCAAACAAGGGTGCCATTTGTCCCCGCCACCGGCGGTCTGGTTTTCTTAGGTCAAACCCTTAATGCCCATGAAGGGAGGGAGGGAGGGAGGGAGGGAAGGAAGGGAGGGAGGGAAGGAAGGGGAAGGCGTTGCCGACTCCGCGCCTGTCCGCGCCTTTCCGCCTTCTTCTCCGCGGCAGAAGGTTGACCCCTGAAACAGAACCCCCCAGTGATTAGTCAAAGGGGCCAAACCAGTTCACACATTATTCTCTTATGATCATGACTCAACTTGGTTTCAATGCCCTGCTAGGGTGTGAGAAGTTCCGCTTTTCTGGGCCATGATAGCCAATCCTTTCAAGTTGCAGATGCTCACCTTAGCTCAGACTCATTGCACTGGCATCTTAGGCAGCACATGGCAGAAGATGAACTAGTTTCCATATCCTCAGCTCAACAATTGCCCAAGCCTCAGGTACTTTTTCGCCAGACAGTCTGCACTCACAAGCTCCATCCGCCGGTTCCGGAAGCCCGCTCCCCTCCGCCGGTTCAGCCCTCACGCCTTTATTTCTTCGATGCCGCGATGAGCGCCGGCGCCGTCACGGGATCCGCGGGGCCTCCTTTGGCGCCTAGGATGAGAATCCGTTTGGGCCATGGGCAAACCAAGTGGGTGTGGCTCAAAATTTAAGCAGGGGGGGGCAAACCGCAGGTTTGGTACCCATGTTTCCACTTACCAGGGCAACCCATTTTTGGAATTCCGTTTTTTTTAAGCCGCAGCCGAGCGATTTAGCTTCTCTACTTGGGTGTTCGATTCGCCAAGTTAGGTGTTGTTGGTTTTCGCTCCAAGCGATTTAATTTCCCTACTTGGTGTTCGGATTCGCCGGGTTAGTAAGTTGTTGGTGACCTAGGTTCTAACCCACTTTTGAGTCCCCCTAAAGTGGGGTGACCCCTGCTATTAAAGGGTTGCAACCCAAGTGGCCAACCCCTTGCTAACTTGGCCCAACATCCAAGTAGGTGTGAAAGACTAAAAGAAAACATTTCTCGGTTTCCTAGTATAAGACAACTGGGATCCGTTTGGGTAAAACATGGCTATGTGTCAGACTTGGACCCGCAAAATGGGGGGGGGGGGTTTGAAACCTTCGGGCCCATTCCAGGTGAGAAAGAGCCGTCGACAGCAGCGACGGGAGTTTCAAACCACCGCCACATGGTGGCTCAAAAAATTGAACCAGGAGGGGCGGTTTCCGCGGGTTAAATGGACCCGTGTTTTTCCACTTACCAGGGCAACCCATTTCGGAATTCCGTTTTTTTTTGGGGCCACAGCCACATAATTTCCTGCTGGCTTCTTAGGAACTAGAATTCGGCCCTGAGTCTGCTGCAAGTCCCGTTGTTGATTTGCCAGGCTCTACACAACCACTGAAGTGGCTTTGTCTCTCAATGAGGGGGACCCCAAATAGGTTTGCCGTCCTATCAGTTTCCCTTTTCATGACCAAACCGAAGAGGGAGACCACAAAAAGACATCTCTCTCCCTGTGCCGTTGAAACCTAGGTTTTTGTTTAGTTACTTTCTTCCCTGTCTTTCTCTGGTGTCCTTTGCTCTTCTTCGGGTTTTGCGGACCCATTAACGAGCCGCGTGCTCTGGGCGCCCGGCCGAGCGCGCGCGCGCGCGCGCGACGCGCGTGCAGCGCCTGGGTGGCGAGGTCTCGCGGCTGAGGGCGGCGTGGGCGCTGCTGCGCCTCAGCTGGCGCCGGTGCTGCGTCTGCGTCCAGGGCTCCCCGGTCGGGGCCTAAAGGGGGGCGATCCGTCGAGGGCGGAGGGCGGTTGGTTTGTTGGATGGGGAGTTTGTGGGGGGGTTGTTGGTTTGGGGAGGAGGGGCGGTTTCTCGATTTTTTGTTGCTTGTCGTTTTCTGCGAAGACTTGGTGGTTTTTGTTTGGGGGGGTGGAGGGCGGGTGGGAGGGACGTTCTTTTTCAGATTTCTGCGAAGACTTGGTTAGACTGGGTGGGTGGGAAAACCCTGCTAAACCCAACCCAATTAGGTGTCCTTTGGTCCTTTGTGTGAATCATTGATCGCGCACTTCCTGGCGCCTCACCTTGCGCCTTAGGCACTGGCCACTAGGTAAAGGCTAGATATTGCAAGTAGGGAACAAGTTGGAAGCCCCGCAGCTTCCCATATTGTGTGCTTAGTTTATTCAAACTATTTAGAATATGATACGCACCACGCTTCTACCCCGGTGGTTGCGGGGGGGAAATTGCCGACTTGTGGTTGGTGATATTAGGGAAGCCTGTTTGGGAGCCCGGCTTGAACGAGGGGCTTGGGGGAGAGAAGAGGGAAGGGCAGATGGGCTGCAGGGTTGTGGGATCACTCGGGGTGTATCCCCGCTTCCGTGATACAAGTTGGAATCCCCCCCTTTGAAAGTTTAGTCTTTGGGGTTAGGCCCCTTTTGTTGTATCACTCTTCTGGCCATTTCCCAGAGCCCTCGGTTGATGCTTTTTTCTTGACATTGGTCAAAGGCGGCGTGTATACGTAACTCAAACAGCCAACTGCCTGCACTCAGCGGCGAAAAAAGCTTGCATTCAAATGCCGCCCGACCGCTTCGCCCAATGTGTTCACCCAACTAAGCCCCATCCCCGAATCATGTGAGCAAATTACCGCCAGCTCACCCGGGATTCAACGTGCGCTCACCCATGGTGAAGGGCCCTTAGGGGTTCTGTGTGAATAGCGTTAGGCAGTCCGCGGGAAGTGCTCGCAATATCTTCTTTCGAGCCATTTCAGGTATCCAGGGGAACTCTGGCAAGTGGGTTTCCTTGGTGTCCTTTTCAACATCAAGAGGTGCTCCCTTCTGACATCCCATTTGAGCAATCGCTTTCTTCTATTCGTGATTGCGGCGGCTTGGGGGGTTCAATTGTTTCGGTGCTTCGGTGCTTTGCATGGCCAAGGAGGACTCAAACCCGGTTGGCTTCCCCAAAAGGAGCCCTGGGCTTCCATTTTCCTGAATAGTGAGGGACCCACCCTTAAACAACTGGGTTAGGTGGGTTAATTACCAGTTTTACTGGTGTACCGGGTTCTACTGGGTTCCACAGGGTTCCACTGGGTTTGCGTTGGGGTACCGAAAACATGAAATTTGCCCGTCGCCAGATGTTGTGCCTCATCATCACCCCGCTGGCGTTCCTGATCTTGCTGCTGATCGCGATCTTCAATGCGCCCTCCCGACGGACACGCGAGCAGAAAGAACTGTGTGCATGTCTCGGAGTGTGTGCTTGCGTGCTGCGTGTGTGAGAGTGCGCGCGTGTGCATGGGTGGGCGGGCGGGCGGGTTGTTTTTGTTTTAGGTTTCGTTTTGGGGGCTCCCCTATTTTGGGCCATACCCAACTGAAACGTGCCAAATGTTCAATTCGGATTACATTCGGAAGAGCACGCAGATTAGAGGATTCCCTCTAAGACTGAGTGATTCCATCTTAAAAGAGCGAGCAACCCTGGCTAATATGGTCCTCTGGATTGATCCGAAGTTGCCATGAGTTGGGTGTGCACAAATTGGTTGGTCTTCTTTGTCGTCAGTGCTTGAAGGGGAACTACCAATTTATTTAGCTGGCTATTTTAAGAAGAACATACACACATAAACACAGGGTTAATCAATATTCATGACTCCCAAATGAGCATGGGCAACTTTCCCCATTTGACCATCATTATTTAGTGGTTCCCCCAATGGTCATCCTATGTAAAGGACCTTTTGATCAACCCCCCTCGTGTTCCTGGAAGGGAGCATTTCATCCAATTTGGAAGTGACCAACGACACCATCGCCTGGAGAAACCAAGTCGAAGAAGCTGCGTGGACCAGGCAGGTTCTGTCACGCGGCCCACGGACCCGTTCGGTGCAGTTCGGTACAGACTCGGCAACCCCGGAGAAGCAGGCAAAAGAGAAAGGTTCACCAACGCTTTGCCCAAAGGCGATTTGGTCCCGCCCAGAGAAGGCTAAGACACCATAGCTGTTGAGCAAGAACCGAGGTTCACGTTTTGAGCTTTCCTTGGCCAAATGTAGGGTTTGCTCATTCAAAAGGGTCCCAATCCAACAGACACCCTGTTGGAGCAAAAACAAGAACTCGCTATCTCCAAACCCAGTTGCCCAGTGGCGCCCTTTTTCTCTTTTTTGGGAAGGGTTCCCCTTTAAACTCAACCAACCCAAAAGGGATGCCTTTTTTTTCCAATGCCTTTTTTTCCCCTGGAAATCCACTGGACATCTGAGCAACAGTGGCAGCAAAAGATTCTGAAAACAACAGCTCAAAATCGGAGACCTTCAAACCAGGCCAAATGGTGAGCGACCAATTGGATGGGGGAACACCCTCAAAACAAGAAGAACCCGGATCCATTTGGGTATGCGTCAAACCAGCAAATCCCCCGCAGAATGGTGGTTTCCTTTTTGGACTCCCTTCAAGTCGACTCACAAATGGCACCCTCCAACCAAAGCACAACTCGCAAGCAAGATTGTGATAGAATGAGGGAAGCCCAAAATGGATGTTTTACTTTTACTTCAAAATGGGTGTGGCTCAAAAATACGAAGCTGTCTTTGTTCTCATATAAGTTTCCGGAGGGTTCCACTAGGTTCAAAACCAAGCCACAGCCCAGCAGGTATGCCTGGCGCGGCTCCTGACGGCTCCTGGGGCGGTGCTCTTTAACCTGGGGGCACCTGGGCCAAAGCTCACGCCGAGGGTTTGGCTCGGGTGGGTGGTTCGGTTCTCTTTTGCTTGTTTAATATAGGACAATTGGACCCCCGTTTTAAATTTTTGAGAGCGTGGTTTCTTTTTTCAGGAATCAGCAACCCCAAGACATTTTCCTTTCGGTTTTCAAAGGGTGGTTCTCTCAGTTACTTGCGGTGTAGGGCCATGCAATCACTGGGTGCTTGGCTGGTCTTTGGTGAAACGAATCACTCTGGTGGACCGTTTGGGTTGACACAAGGGGTTGCCATACCCAACCAAAGGTCGAGCACGAAGCTCTTGTTCGTTCGGAGGGAGCCGCTCAGAATGCGATTGTGCCATGGGCTAACTCAAACACACAAAAGCCGGGAGCTACTCGGTTTGACCCAGCGCAACTTGCCTCGCGAAACCGAGGTTTTGTGTGTCATTGGTTTTTGTCCCGTACATGATGTGTCAGAAGGGACCCATCAAAATATCCATCGAAACATTGAAAGTTTGACGACTGGAACCGAACTCTTAATGGGCGAAAAAGGTGCTTTAAAAACCACCAAAAAGAAGAGTCAGAGCACCGCTGCCCTGAGAAGCCAATAAAGGAAGCCACAGCATGTTTCTTTTCCAACCAGCACAAAGCTTGAGCACTTTTTTGGCCGGGGGCGTACGAATCAGCACTTGCGTGAAAGGGTGGGGGCCATACCGCCAGAGGTGGGTCAAGAGTTAAGCTTGAGTTGTTGTCTTCACGAGTTATTTCAGGTAGTTTTTTTTTTGGTGTCTTTTTGGGTGGAAATCATCAGGCTAGAGCAGTTGGTGGCTTGGATTGGTTGGGATTTGGGATTTGAACCCCTGGTTCTTGCAGAAGGTAAATGGGAAACTACCCCCAACCGCTAAAACCAGCAATCCAGGGCACCAAATTAGTGGGAAGCCAAGTTATGCAAGTCAGCACCTGGTCAGGTGCTTGGAACTACCCCCAACTGCTAAAACCAGCAATCCAGGGCACCAAATTATTGGGAAGCCAAGTTATGCAAGTCAGCACCTGGTCAGGTGCTTGGAACTTCCCCCAACTGCTAAAACCAGCAATCCAGGGCACCAAATTATTGCGAAGCCAAGCTATGCAAGTCAGCACCTGGTCTGGTGCTTGGGAGCACTTGGGAGTGTCTCAAAATAGAGCAGCTTCAAAATTTGCGGTTTCCTTTTGGTTCCAACTGCCCATCTGGAAAAAACATACACATGGGTGGTGTGTGTCTTTTTCGGTGTTGGTACCTTTTTTCTGGTTGTTGTTTTTAAAGGCAAACCGCAAAAGGAACACCAATTTTGAGGCTGCGCCTTTTTTTGGTGGATGTAAGGGAAACCATTGTCCCCTATTTGGAGGCAAACCTTTCTCGGCTTTGACTTGCGTTGTCATTCCAGAGCCCAGAACTCGTAACGTGACTCCGGCATCTCACGCTGGGATTTGTTGGCCGAAGCCCATGGATCAGCAAACGGCTTCCGTGTTTGGTGTTCTTGAGGGAATGAACCTGGGGGATCCCCTCAAAGGAAGCCACAAGAAATGGCTTATAGGGGTTCCATTTTTGTCGTTCCCTGAGCACCAGCAAGTTTTTGGAGGTTCTGAAGATTGCGCTTGCGACACGTGTTTGGCGGGTTTTGGATTCGCCTCATCGTTTTTGCGGCTGCGGCAGCGGGGGCCTCCTAGAAGGTTCCAAGGTTTCCGTCTAAACTTATTTTTTTTGGTGTGGGAGCTTTCCATTGCAACGAACAACGATGCTCAGGGGCCGGAAAATGGACGTCACATGAGAGGCTGTACCCAGGCGCAACTCGAGTAGTCGCCTTCAAAAGAGGAAGGGGCCTCGGATCTCGGTTGTTCGGGCCCAGAAGCGAAACGGAAAAGCGGAGGTCACAAAACAGGCTCGGGGTTGAACACCGTCACCAAAGATCAAAACCAACACATGTATCCAAACATGGAAGCTTTCCATCAGGTCTTGTGGCTGGTCCTGCGCCTAGTCGTCCGGGCCCGGTGCCCCGATTTGCGGCGCAGAAGGAAAGGAACCAGCCTTCCTCCCAACAGAAGGCAACTAAATGTAAGAAGGCAACTGTTTTTTTCTCCTTCTTTTGGGTACGATTTTAAACGGACACCAACAGAAACACCATTTTAAGGGGTCACCCAAACAAAAGAGCCGCCCAGCTGTGACAGGGCACCTAGAAGCAGAATTTGTCAAAGGGACCCTCTGTATGTAAGTGGGAAAGGGCAGCGCTGCATCAAATTTGGACCTGAGCCTAGAGTCTAGGTGCTCAATAACCAGACTAGAGTTCATATTTGCAAGGAAACCACAAAGGCATTAAGGTGTCTTCTACCATTTGTCGGCTTCTTTCCTCGCTATTTGTTTCCCCTAAAGAGCGCCACATTGGGGATTGCTGTTTCGAGTTCTCCCCACCTTCTCTCGCGCAAGTTCAATTTTGCCCAAAGGCCCACGATGATCATCAACATCATCATCATCATCATCATTATCATCATCATCAGCAGCATCACTAACGTCACTGGCATCACAACGATCTTTGATACCGCATCACCAGCATTGCCAACACCATCATCACCAGCATGATTGACACCAGCACCACAGCACCACAGCACCACAGCACCAAAGCACCACAGCACCACAGCACCACAGCACCACAGCACCACAGCACCACAGCACCACCAGCACCCACCAGCCACCAGCACCACCAGCACCAGCACCACCAGCACCAGCACCACCAGCACCACCAGCACCACCAGCACCACCAGCACCACCAGCACCACCAGCACCACCACCACCAGCACCAAAAGCACCACCAGCACAGCACAACCAGCACAGCACAACCAGCACCTTTTATTTAACACCCAGCAGAGGCGCATAGTTTTGGGGACAGCCGCGGAGACCTGTGAACGATATGGAAGGAAACAGCTATATTCATATCTTTGCGTTGCTGCAAAAACGCTAACCTATCCATCATTCAACACCAACCTTCGAATGGGATGAGATGTTTGCGCCCCGCTGGTTGTCTTTTTACCTTGAGAATGCTCCAAATCTTGCCGGCCGCTTTCCGGTTCGCCTTGAGTCAGTCTGCAGACACACCCGAAAAGTATGACACGTAAGCACGGACCTGGCTTTGCTTACTTCAGGTCCTTTACATGGGATGACCATTGGGGAAAACCAGCAAAAAGATGATATGTCCCCTAAAAATGTTACTCATGGTCATTTGGGGGCCCTAAATCGGAATATTGAGCCCCCCCTCCCCCCTCCCTATTTTTTCGGGTAGGTCCTTTTGGTCCTTTTGGTTGAAACCCGCGAAGCAAGAAAATAAGAAAGAAAAAAACAACACAAAGAAGAAACAAAAACAACCAGCGGCAAAAAGCACCCAAAAAAAAAGGAGCAGACAAGAAACAACACACACACAAAAGAGGAAAGCCCCAAGTGGAAGTTTCCGCGCTTGGACCCCCCTTGCAGGTCCTGGTGTTCCCGGGCTCCATCCTCCTCTGGCGGCGCAACACCGAGGTGTCGGATGCAAGTCGTCGGGGTGCGACGTCGGGCGGTGAGTTGCTTTTGGGTCCGAAGTCACTGGTTGTTTTTTTGGTGTTTCGTTGTTTTTGGGTTGTTTTTGGGTTGTTTTGGGGTTGTTTTGGGGTTGTTTTGGGGTTGTTTTGGGTTGTTTTTGGTGGGTTTTTGGGTTGTTTTTGGTGGTGGGCTGTCCGAATTTCACCCACGAAAGTTGTTTTTGGTTGGTTTGGTGGTGTCCAAACAACTCAGCCACGTAAAGGTTCAGCCACTTTTGGCTCGGGGATCTGAGGATAGCGGTTATTTTGGAGCAACCACGTTGGAAAAATGTATGGCCTAAAAGTGCAGGTTTCCTCTAAATCGCTTTTGGGTTCGGCTGGTTTGCTTTCAAACCACCATACAAACCATGGCTTTAGCCAGGGGCAACTGATTCTAGGTGAAGCGATGACTTATTTTAAAGAGCAAATCTAAATCCACAGCTTTTGCCATCCAAGAAAACAGGTGCCCTGTGTTCCCATAAAAAAGGCACTGGGTCCAACCCTTGAAGGACCTTTTGCACAGTTCAAGCACCAGCAAAAGTCATAACAAGTCGTCCCATACTTCCTCATTGAAACAAGTCCAGATGGGCTCAACTGGGCGAAGTAGACGCAAGTGATGCCGCCGCAGTGACCGCACCGCCACAAACGCCGTCCTGGTTTCATGTGAGGGGATCCCCTTTCGGTTTCGCTTGCAAAACAAGGAAGTTCCCTGAGAGCCAGCCAATTAGGCAATTTGGGTGTGGCTCAAAATTAACCAAGAGGGGTTACGCAGGTTTTGGTCCATGGTTCCACTTACCAGGAATCATTTTGGTACCGGTTTTTTGAGCCACAGCCATTTGTGGGGAGCAAAAGTTACTCGCCGCAATCCCCCCAACTGAGTGTGTTTATGCCTTCAACCCGCCAAGCCAACAACAACTCCGCGACGTTTCTCAATTTTTCCCTTCCCACCACCCCCCAAAAGAAAGCACACTCGCGCGTTTCGTGTTTTTTTTTTGTTCCCCGCACCCCACTCCCTTTGCTCTCCCCCCAGCCAGACGGGACCTCCCCCCCCACGCCTCCTGCGCGGAAAAACGCGGCGCGGCGCGTCGAGTCGGAGGCCTCCTACCGCTCGGAGATGGCCAAGCAGTTCGCGGGGCACCTGGAGCACCTCCGGGGCTTCCTGGCCGAGGCCACCGGCGCCTCGGCGTTTTTCGCCGCGACAGGGCGGCGGCAGGACGTGTGTGGTGGTGGGCCGGTGGAAGCGGACAAACGAAGAAACGAGAACGAAGAAGAACGGCCGGCCACTGGGGGGGGGGGGGGGAAGATGCGGGTAAAAAGTGGGAAGGTCATATTTCGACACGGTTTCCTTTGCAGGACATGTTCGGACATCCCCTCTTCCCCCCCATATCCCCGCAAATTTGGTAAGAAGGCCTCATCAACGCTGAAAGCCGGTTTGCGGGGGCAGGGCATTTTTTGGTTTTGATGTGTTTCCTGAAGCGTTGTGGGGTTGATGGGTTTTGACCCCAACCGTTTTAGGGGGGAGGTGGGGGGCGGGGGAACTGGTAGGCGTCTTGCCCCGAAAAGGTGGCACATGGGCAATTCTGTGTCTGGTCGGTTTTGGTTTGCGACTACGTCTCAATGGGAACCCAGTTGAATGCTAGACTCCTGGTTGAGGTCTCCCCAATTTGGAGGGAACCCGGATCACTCTTGGGGGCCACGAGCGAAACCCCCCAAAGTGAACTCCAAAGAAGCACTCCTCCGTTCAGGGTGCCAGTGAGCCGAAATTCGCTCATTCCCCGTGGAAAACACCAGGGGTTTGCTTCCCAAAAAAAGACACGGACACCAAAAGGGCGGTCCTTCCCGCGACAGAAGATCCACTTTCTGAAGGGCAGTTTTTGTCGGCAGGAGTATGTGAATCCTGGGAAGATGAACACGGAACAGGGTGGTGGGTTTGGCCGTTTTTGGAGCCAATTGGGTATGCCAAGATCATTGTTTGCCGGGGGGAATTGGGGCTTGGGTTGGTTTCGGCCCAAACTCCAAACGTGAAATTTACATTACCAAAGCTATTGCCTCCATTCATAGTCTCAACTTGCCATTCCCAAAAACTACGTGGCTAGCCGGAAACAGGACATTTGTTATTGCATTTTGTTTAGCAAAGCAAGGTTTGACAAGCTCGTAAACGGCTTTCCCCTTCACACCCGAAGACACCCCCTTTGAATTCTGACCCTCTCCCTGAAAAATCAACACTGCAACCTCCGTTTACTTTGCTCTTGCCAGTCCTATCGGCCAGACGGTCGGGGAAAGGACCGAGGATCAGGGGAACTCGCCGGAGGGGGAGATTCTTTCAGTGGGAATCGGCGGAAGCGGCCAGGAATTTCAGGGGGAAAGGGAAGAAAGCCCAGCATTTTGGGAGTCCCCCGAAGAAAAACAAGCCTGACCTTGCTGGTGGTTGCCATGTCTCACTCCGCTGTCGCATCCGCTGGTTGGGTAAGGGCCATCCGTTGAGGTAAGGGCCAAGGCCCTGCGGCCGGGGTCCGGGGGTCCCAGCGGAGGATCTCTCCTGTGTTGGACAATTCGTTTTTTTGGGCAGGGAGGGGGAGAAAGAGGTGCCAAGGGGGGGCCCCTGATTTTTCTGAACGCGTCTTTTGGGTGGTTCAATCAGCACGTGTTGGCCCGAGTTTTCCTGGGATGAGGTTGAAAGAGGATACCGTCCCGCCAACTAGCCTGACAGTTGCACAAGCAACAGCTGCCCAGTTTCAGCTCCAACCAGTGACAGAGGATTCGCAATCTGGGACCGAAACCGGAGGGAGCTGTGGGTGGGGACCGGTGTTTTGGGGGGCGACGGGAACAGTCGTGATCGTCTTTTTCCGTTTTTTTGGCTTTCTAGGGCTGAAAGATGATCAAACCGCAAGGGTGAGCGGCAAAAAAGACAAACCCATAGGAGACGACGACATTCAAGCCTGCCGAGGGAAACACGGTATTGCCATTGCGAAAGTGCTTGGATCTCTCTTAACCATGCCATCGAAAAGGCCACAGGGGAAAAAGCACCACCTAGCGGCTTAGTTTCCGGGTACCTGGGGCTTGGCCCTCCCTTGAGCCACTTCCTCCAAACTCTGCAGACATCCGGTTCTTGTTTATGTTTTGTTTTTGGGTAGACCATGTTCACACTAGCTTTGGATCACGACTCCTTCGGTTGGTCTTTGGTTGCTTTTCCGTTTCGTTGGCTCCGAATCTCTTTTCCTTCGGCTTCCCTTGACTCGCAGGCGTGTTCGATGTTGAACAACTACTGTCGACTCCCTAGCTGCCCTTCCAAGGAGCGTTTCTTATCTGGCCGGTCACAACCTGTGCATTTCTCCATGCGGATGAACACCCATGTACCACCTAGGAGATGTTCACCAGGGGTTTCCTGGGTGCTGACCAGCCATGTTTCCCGAGGGACGCAATGCTGGAGACCGGTTCACGGGGTGCGTCGCCGGCCCCAAAAAGCCAAGCCTCAAGGTTCTTAGCGAATCGACCTTGAAATGGCAACTTGCGTTTTGGTTCAATAGCTCCAAAGGCTGCAAGGGAGGAAACACATGTGGACCGAAAGCGACCTTTTTGCTTCGCCTTTGGAACACCTTTGAAGCTTCTCACCTGTCAAAGGGATGAAAGGCGCTCTCCTTTTCGTCTTTTGGTTCCGTTTCGGAACACGTTCGCCCAACGGAGATCGCCCAATGGAACACGTCCGCGTTTCTTTTTTTCCCTCTCCCGTGTCGGAAAGGCCACTCTGGAGGGCACGCTGCTGGGCTTCATGGCGCCTTGGAGTCGAAGCGAAGCTGCCGGGTGCCGATTTTTTCTCCCCCGTTTTTTTTTCCCCCAAACAGCGAAGCATTGGGGTTCTAACTTGAGGTATAGAGAATGGGAAAGTGTGACGCCGGTTCCGGGGTCCTGTTTTCCGCTTGTCTTCCTGTCTCCCAGTCTCTCCGGTCAGATGCCAGATGCTGTAACGCTGACGCAGGGTCGTGTCTCCCGCTTGTCTCCCTGTGTGTCTCGTGTTTCCTGCTTGTCTCCCTGTGTCTCCCAGTCTCTGCGGTCAGCGCCAGAGCTGTGACGCTGGCTCCGGGGTCGTGTCTCCCGCTTGTCTTCCTGTGTCTCGCAGTCTCTGCGGCTCCGGGGTCGTGTCTCCTGCTTGTCTCCCTGTGTCTCCCTCAGCTTCTGCGGTCAGAGGCCAGATGCTGTGACGCCGGCTCCGGGGTCGTCTCCCGCTTGTCTTTCTGTGTCTCCCAGTCTCGTCTCCCTGTGTCTTCCAGTCTCTGCGGATGACTCCGGGGTCGTGTCTCCCGCTTGTCTCTGTGTGTCTGGATGCTAGATGCTGTGAAGCTGGCTCCGGCGTCGTCTTGTCGCTGTCTCCCAATCTCTACGGTCGGATGCCAGATGCTGTGACGCTGGCTCGGGGGTGTGTCTCCCGCTTGTCTCCCTGTGTCTGGATGCCAGATGCTGTGACGCTGGCTCTGGGGTCGTGTCTCGCGCTTTTTTTCTGTGTCCAATCTCCCGCTTGTCTCCCTGTGCTCCCAGTCTCTGCGCTTGTGCCAGATTGTCTCCCAGTCTCGTCTCCCTGTGTCTCCCAGTCTCTGCGGTCAGATGCCAGATGCTGTGACGCTGGCTCCGGAGCTTGTCTCCCTGTCTCGCAGTCTCTGCGCTGCTGTGACGCTCCCAAGTTACCTTGCCTTTTTGAGCTAAGATGTCCTCGGTCACTTGCGCTCGTTGGCCCCCGTAAAGCCGTGAAAACTCGGCCGAACGGCCGTGATAACTTGCGCGGTAAACTGAAAGGCCGTTACTATTCCGTGAAAAAGCCGTGAAAATTTCACGCTCTGAGTTATCTTGTCCTCACGACACCAAAAACCTTCTTAGCCCGTACGGCCTAAGTAACTCGCGAATCGGAGACTGGTCAGAGGCAAGATGCTGTGACGCTGTGCCGGATGCCAGTCTTGTCAGTCTTTGCGGTCGGATGCCAGATGCTGTGACGCTGGATGCCAGATGCTGTGACGCTGGCTCCGGGGTGTCTTTGTCGCTTGTCTCCCAGTCTCTGCGGTCGGATGCCAGATGCTGTGACGCTGGCTCCGGGGTCGTGTCTTGCGCTTGTTTTCCTGATGCTGTGACGCTGGCTCCCCGCTTGTCTCCCCCTGTTCCCTGTGTCCCAGTCTCTGCGGTCAGATGCCAGATGCTGTGACGCCGCCAGCTCTGGGGTCGTGTCTCCCGCTTGTCTCCCGTGCTCCCAGTCTCGTCTCCATGTGTCTCCCAGTCTCTGCGGTCGGATGCCAGATGCTGTGACGCTGGGTACGGGGTCTCCCGCTTGTTTCTCTGTGTCTGGATGCCAGAGGCTCCGTGTCTCCCGCTTGTCGCTTGTCTGTGTGGCTCGTCTCCCTGTGTCTCCCAGCCTCTGCGGTCGGATGCCAGATGCTGTGACGCCAGCTGCGGGGTCGTGTTCCTGAGTCTCCCACTCTTTGCGGTCAGATGCCAGATGCTGTGACGCTGGCTCCAGGGTCGTCTCCCGCTTCTCTCCGTGTGTCTCCCGGCAAAAGCGACTGAAACTGCTTCTTCTTTGCGAATTTTGGGGCTGACCTTGCTTGCTGCCAGCTGGCCGTTTTTTAATGCTTACAGCCCTCAACAGGAAAAATGAAGGTCCCGGGCCCCGGGCAAAACCAACTGAAGCTGCTTCTTCTTTGCGAGTTTTTGGGGCTGACCTTGCTTGCTGCCAGCTGGCTGTTTTCCTGCTTACAGCCCTCAACAGGAAAAATGAAGGTCCCGGGCACCTACCCAGTTTTGAGGCTGACCTGTTCGGCTCCCTTCGGCTCAAGTGGCAGCAGCGCGCAAGCGCAATTGAGAAGCATCAAAAACAGTCCAGCTAGAAACATAGATTCGAAGTCAGAAGGAAGGACTTGCAAAAATGTTTAGCAGTGGGGAAAGGGCATGTCGCAGATTTTGCTGTTAGCCTGTGTGCAAAGGATGTGCCTCTCTCTTGGTCAAGCGCAGGTTTGCGTCCTTGTGGAGCATCGTTGGAGCTAGAAGCAAGCAATGTCGAGCCTTAAATATGTTTATTTTTCTCGATAAACAAATCATGACATTCGGCTGATTGCTTTGCTCAGGAAACTGAGCTGCTTTTTAGAAGCCAGTGCCACACTTTTTGGCCAAGTGCAGGTTTGCATCCTTGTGGCGCATCAGCAGAGCCCTGTCGAGCATTAAATATGTAGACTGCTTTCGATAGACAGATACCGTGACATCCGGCTGACACTGAGCTGCTTTTGGAAGCCTTCTTGGTCAACTGCAGGTTTGCATCCTTGTGGCGCATCAGCAGAGCCCTCCATTTTGTTTTATAAACAAATATACCGTGACATCCGCCTGATTGCTTGGCTCAGGATTCTGAGCTGCTTTTTGGAAGCCAGTGCCGCACTTCTTGGCCAACTGCAGGTTTGCATCCTTGTGGCACAACCCTGTCGAGCCTTTAATGTGTCTGTTTTCTTGATAAACAAATATACTGGGACATCTGGCTGATTGCTTTGCTCAGGATACTGAGCTGCTTTTTGGAAGCCAGCGCCGCGCTTCTTGGCCAAGTACAGGTTTGCATCGACAGCGGAGAAAAATACTTAGCGCTGGTGTAAAAAGCGGTTTCTTGACATGTTTTCCTGTTCGAGTGCTGGCCATGAATGCAGGTGCGCAGGTGGACAAGTGGCAGACATTGAGGCTTTCGGGGCTAAACACAAAGCATTTAGCTTGGACTTTTGCAGCGCTGTGATGATGAGGGTGGATGAGGAGGATTGTGTTGATTCTGTGGCTGATGAAGGTGGTGACGATGATGATGATGATGATGATGATGGTGATGAGGGTCAGGATGACGAGGATGAGGAGGATGATGATGAGAAGAAGGGTGATGATGAGTGCCACAGAGAAGTCGACGGTTTCGTTGACAGTTTTGCTCCGAGTCAACAAACCCTTGGAATGGAGAAGGGGCACGGCTCCACTAAGCATTTTACCAGCGAAGCAACTAGAGGGCTTGCGCGGGTCAGCCACCATCTTAGCCAAAATCGTACGAAGCGGGGGGAGGGGGGCTCTAGGCGACTGATGATGCTAGGGATGCAGGAGCGCTGCAGAAAAGACCTCCAGCGGATGACACCAGCAAGTTGCGCAAGCAAGTTTTTTTAGCAAGTAGCACTAGCGAGCTGCACTAGCAAAATGCCACTAGCCAGTAGCACGAGCAAGATAGCGCTAGCGAGATGCACGAGCCACTCGTTGCCTCCTGATTAGACGTCGTAAGGTGCCATTATCATTCTCTGAGGCGCTCGCTTCCCTACAGTCTCTGGACCCATGGAACACCAAAGGGGTTCAACGTGAGCTGTGTTGCATGGCGCTTGTGCTAGCCTCCCGCATTCTCGCAATCAACGTTCTTTTCCGAGATCTTGACTTGAGTTTGGCAGCTCTGGGCGAGATTCTGATTTACTTGCTCGCAGCATACGTGGCTTGTCGGGAAACCAAGCTGGAGGGATGTGCTGATAGCATCAAGACCATCACTCACCGAAGCAACACGCGCTAAAGACATGGCCCATCCATTTCTTCTTTGACGACACAGCTTCGCCTCCACTACGCCTGGAACATCGATTCCGACCCGTTCTCGCAAAAGGTTTCGGTGCTGCTGGACACCCTGCGTGCGTGGCGAACTCCCCAGCAACATTACGGAATTGCGGCTCTGGTGCTCAATGTGCTAATTGCAACACACGGTCATGGCCATGTTTCGACACATTTTCGGTGGCTGTATAATCTAATAAGAGTTGCTAACGCCGCAGTCTGCAAGTTTATGCAAGTTCTCTCTTGCTTTGCTTGTGGCAAGACCTTTAGCCGAGCTCGAGAAGAAGATAGCAACCAGAAGTGGCATGTGCCCAGTCTCGGCCGCAAGCTGCTGAGACTGATGCGCAAGTTTCAGCAGAGTAGCGAGACGGCCACCAAATGCTGCGGTGATGGAACTTGCATTGAGTGTCCGTACTACGGAAGTTCCTTCGAAACTTCCTTTGAATAATGCCAGGTGTTAGGTTGATTCACCCCGAATCCATGGGGCCTTCACTCTCGAACATGGCATTGACATGGCATTTTCCTCCTCGAAGTCGATGAGCAACATCGATGCTTTTACCCGGCGGCAAGGAGATGGATTGTAACTATGTGTTGCTCACATAATCTACTCAATTTCGCACCTTACATGAAGGAGACAAGCCTTTTTTGGGTTATACAGACCTGTCATGCTGTTTTGCTGTTTGGGGCCAAGGCTGGTGTAATTTTGGTGTTTCTGTATATATTTTATCTTCTTATTCTTCTTTTTCCAACCGTGCTGCTTTTGTTTCTTCTTCTGTTACTTTTTTCATATAACTTGTTTATATGGTCTGAAAGGGAAGGTATCACTACTGGACATGGGTCGACGGGCCCAGATCGGCGGCTCTGGGGTGGTTTGGGGCAGCCTTTAGGCAGGGCTTCGGAGGATTGGGGATATCACCATTTCCTGCTGCCTGTTGGTTTTAAAGGAGATCTATACTGGAAATATGTTTGCTTGTAATTGTATGTTTGCAGAAACTTACACAAATGGAGAGAAGGGAGACAAGCTTTAGCTGTCTTGCGGCAGGTGAGAGACAGACTGGGACCAAAGGTGTCCCAATCATGAATATCTCAAGGAGTTTCTCTTTTTCTTTTTTCTTTTTCTCCAGCAGTTCACTGCGGCTTAACTGGAGATTACTAACCATATTGGAACCCAAAATTGACTAAGTCCCTGAATCTGATACGGGGAATCCCTTTTTGGAATCAGATCACTGGGTTTGAGTCTACCTGGGGCTAGTCAACAAGGTTCTTCCCATTTCCCTTTTTGGAACCACCACCAGTAACCTGATTTCAACTTTTGATTTGTCCCTTCGTGACCTCTGGTCAAAGAATGGCTTCCCAGGCTCCCGATATTCGCCTGTTTGTTGCGTGCTTCACTTTCTGGCAACATCTTTGCATGTTGTTGTTCTGCTCCCCAACCCTGCTGCTTTGGATCCATTGAATTGGTTCGCATTTCGGCGATTTTACAACTGGCCCAAAGTTCCATGGTTGGAAGAACTTGCTTGTGCTCAGCAGGGAATGTGGTTGAATGAACCCAGGCTTTGGTCCCCTTAAAGGAAACCACGAGTTGGATGGTTTATAAGGAAGCCAACAGGGATGGATTATTCAGGCATTGTTTGGTCCCGAACAAAGCACACCACCAGTTGGGATCCATAACTCTCATTCCCTGCATCTCGCAGTGATCGCAAGAACAAGAAGCAGCCGGTTTTTGCTTGATCATGGCCAGACCTGAGTTGGTTTAGATTGGATTTGGAGTTTCGGGTTTTTGTATTACACCCTGAGAATACACCCACTGGGTATTGACCCCAGTTAGGCACATGTCCGGATAAAACCGTGTTACTTTGAACCATTCTGGGCCGTGTTATTTTTCCAAAGGGTGTAATCCCAGGGTGTAGTACAAAACCCTCAGCAACTTGTCTGAACACAGCAACGCCTCTAAGAACAGTTCTCTTAGAACAGGCCCCCCAAAAAGAGGTGTGGGGTCCCTGCAAACACCCTCTGGTTTGGATTGGATTTGGAGTTGGAGCCCTGAAGGGTGCCCTACAACTAAGAAACCTTTTGTGGATGATTTTGCCTTACCTCCAATGTTCTTGTTCGTCCCCTGGAAAAACATCTTGTAGTGGATTCCTCAGAGAGTTGGAGCCCTGGCCTTTGCAGCGGGGGACCTCCTGGCGCAAGCGAACCGCTCCTTGTTTGTCGCGCGAGGTGGTGGAGGGCCTCTCGCGGAACTTCCAGGTGCAGCAACGAGACCAGGCGCCTTCGCCTCCGTCGCGGGTGGGTGACCCGCGCGACGAGTGGATGAGAGAACAAAACCACAGGGCCGGCTGTAAAACTGGGCACCCTTGGGGTGGGCTAGAAATAGGGGTGACTTAAAAGGGACTTCTTAGGGAAGGGTACCCTCCCTCCAACATGGCAGTGCTGTAAAAGGGTACCTGGCAAGTTCCTCTTGGAGGGAACCCCTTTCAGGTGCCATGTTCGTGGGAGAGAGGACCCTTGGGATGGCGGCCACAACTTGGGGTGACCAAAAAAAGGGGCTTCGCTCAGCGAAGCCCAATTTTTTTCGGACATTGCCTAGGGAGTTCGCCTAGGGATGCCGCGCCCGCACTGCTTACTATGCATTTGGCCTTCCACTGGGTTTTAGATGGTTACGATTGCAATAGTATAAGCATTTCTCTAGATGGTGGCTGTGCCTTTGCCGCGCGTTGTGGGGCAAGATGGAGACGAGTCCCATTTGGCAAGATGTCACATTGGGGCACTGTTCCTGACTGGCATTGCTCCGCTCATCACAGACTATTCTCGGAGCCAAGCGAGATTGTGGGCAGTGGGCACGGGTGGCCTCAAAGGGGGCCGAGTGAGGGTCTGCTTTCCCTTGAATTTGTGCTATTTCCATGACAAGAAAGGTTGTTCACTCCAAAAAGACGCAACCAGACTTCCCAAAAAGGCGCCTCTAAGGGCGGTGGGTTTGAAACGTCACCTAAGTGTTGCCAGTTTCAATAGAAGCTTTCTGGATTTCTGGAACCCTTGAATCTAGCAAGTGCTGGGTCTCACGGGGGCTTACCTCTTTCGGAATCTTGCCAGGGTGCTGGGGACCCCTTTCCGGCCCCCTTTGTCAACATTGAATCGGGCCGTTTCATGATGAACAACCTTCACTCCAACATGCCTAGATGGAGCCAAGCTGCTGCTTTGTTCAGCCACTGTTGCCGGTTTTGGGGCTTTGAGTGCATGGAAAAAAAATCGATTGCAACTGGCGATCCAGGTGGTTTCCAATACCCTCGATAAAAAAAAATAAAAAAATCCCAACCCCCCCCCCCCAAAAAAAAAACAAAAAAAAAACGGAAAAAACGCTCTGGGCGTTTGGCACACCTGGGTTTTGGCGCGCGCGCGAGTTCGGTGCCGACCTCGTGCCTGACCCGTGAGCCAGACACCTCTCAAATGGTCGAAGCAAACGAGGCGCCTAGACGCGGGTGCAATGGCAGTTGTGGTTTCCACCACCCAATCCACTACCTCCTGGGCACAAAGGCTATATTCTGACCCTTCAGATCTGGGGTAGACTGAGGATACATTTTACATTTTGCCAGTGTCTCAGATTGAAGCAAACAATAAAGTATACATTCTAGAACTGGGCCTAACTCTAATCATGAGATGAAAGGTCTCAGACCCCAAGCATTCGCAAGGGGACCCATTTGACCCATTTCACCTTCGGCCCTGACCCGCTTCTGCAAAGGGCGGAGTTCACCAAGGAACCGTTTCTGGTTGGTTTCCCTTTCTGGGTGGCTTCCGCTCCTTGAACCGGCCTTCAAGGTGCAAATTCCTCTCCGCCCTTTTTTCTTTTTCTTTTGAGAAGGGCTCCCCTTGAAAGTCCACCAAACCCCCTAAAAACATCGGGATGCCCCGTGATTTCTTCTCCCTTTTTCCTTCCTGGAGATCCGCTGTTCACCAAGAAATCCGCTCCAGAGCTCCGCTTCCGCGAGGTGAAGTTCACCAAGGAGCAGGCGCAGCTGCGCTCCTGGGTGCAGGCGGTGGAGCTGTGGCTGTCGCAGGCCAAGGTCATGGACAGGCGCGGGGACGGACGGCCGCGCGGACGGGGACGGACGGACGGCGGACGACGAGTGGGTGTCATGCGGGGTTTTGGGATTGTGGAAATTCGCCGTCGGCGAATTTCCCGAAAGTGTTTGGGGTTACGTTTTGGGGAGGCGAATTTGGATTTAGGCCTTCCTTGGGGTTAGTGGCACTTGAGACATCAAGACCTGGTTGGAAGTTTAGTAGCCGATTTGTTTGGCCTTTTTACAGTAAGAACCTGGCATGTGGCCCAGTGCTTTCAGTTATCACAGTGGATTATCCTGGTCAAACAAATATGTGGAGACTCCAACTGAGCCACAATAGTCAATGCCTGAATTGTTGCAAGTAGGGGACAGTCCCAACCATATTGGGTGTGGATATCTGCCCACGTTTTCTTTTTGTTTTTACATCATCACGACTTACTTGGCAGAGGATGGGCATGAAATCCATTTT